GACAAGGGTTCAAGGCTCGATAATTATATTATTGATCAAATATAAACTATAAAAATCTTATTTGAGTATTACATAAAGGAATGAAAAAGAACTTAAGACGGTACATGGTTTACACTTCGAAGTCGCGCTTGGCAAATGTTTGGATTAAGATTCTAAACTCATCACCAGTGACTTTTTACGCTGATCTAACATCACTAGTTACATTAAATAGTGAGGTTGCAAGCCAAAATATTCGAGACATTTGTTTATGCTTCGTAAGATTGATTAAACAGTAATGTGTTGTTTGTTTTAGAGTCAGAGATGATACACTCGAATACAAACCTCAAAATGATATATATTTAAGTATGTTTTTGATTCTCCTCATGACTTGAGTCATGATGCTAATTGATAAAAGAATCATGTAAGCATAAAGCGGTGATACTGTTGTGATAAATCTGTTTCTTAATTTCAAATAAGTCGTTATATAACTATGGAAATCTATCTAGGTCAATTGCTTGACAATTACTAAAAAAAACGGAAAAAAACTTACATATCAAAATTTTTATTAGTAAAAGTAAATCTATTACTTATATAATCTGAATACAATTCTTCTAAACAAATGTATTTTACGCATTTTATAGTGGAATGCGAAAAAACATAACATATTATTTATCTTTGTGTCATGAAAGTACCACCTTGTCATTGATATAATAAATAAAAGTAATCTTAAATTTTTATTTATTTTTAATGGGTTCATCAGAAACTAATTATTCGAATCGATAATATTAACCAAATGGGACATATTTTATATTACTTTTAGTGCCTAAATTTTCTTTATATTTGTAAGTTCCGAATATAGTTAAGTTTTTGGTTTTGTTTTTTATGGCCAATATTTTATTAAGTATTTGTTTTGCCTGTCTATGGGAGACTTATGTACGACTTATTACCTGCATTCAAAAGGTTTTGCTATTTAATTGGTTCCTTTTAAAATAGACGACTGTATGATTTTTTATGGGAGAGAATCTTTATTTGTATGTATCATCACCATCACATCATCACCAGCACTTTTACGTTCCCACTGCAGGGGCAGGAAAAGAAAGCCTGATTCCTTATGGATGGTTAAGGAGGATAGGCGGATTGCGGATTGGAGGGTATTAACGACTGCAAATGCAGTCGGGACCAACGGCTTAACGTGTCTTCCCAAGCATGGAGTAGCTCGAGATAATAATTTTTTGGGCAATACTATTAATTCTTAAGGGGGTATAAATTCTTAAGGGGAACACTTTATTCGGATATCGATTCATATCGTGACATGGATATAATGAGGAAGTATTTAAAAAATAAAATTAGTTCCCGAAATCAAACTAGATGTCGCGACGGTACTTTTTTGATTTCTCCATGACAACCCTTCCGGTTTTCTTTCATGTATAAAAGTAAGTTTTTAATATGGTAGTTAAAAGGAACGGCAATGACTATCTTTGGTGCATTCGTTTCCTGCCAAGATCAATATTTTGGTAGAGTCGCCATCTAGTGAGGTGCTTTTTTAGTTCTTTCTTTTTTTTAAATACTTATTCATCACAATGACAAATTGAATAGTAAACAATGGTTACTATGGTAACGTTTTCATTCCTGGTACAAATTTCCACTTCCATTTTCATCTCTTTATTTGCTGTTTTTCGGGATAAAATATAGCCTATGTTCATCGCATATGATGTAGCATCTCGTAGGTGAATGAATTTTAAAAATCGGTTCAGTTGTTTTGGCGCCTACTTGTTGCAAATAAACAATGAATTCTTTTCGCTTAATAATATTAATATAGTATGTAACGAAATTTTAAAGACAGAGAGTCTTTAAAATTTCATAAAATTAAAGGTGATAGAGCTTCCGAAAATTGTGTACGGTGTTGTTGGTTTCTCGTCAATTTTGACTTTTTAAATTGTGGCCAATTGTAATAAATTCCTTTATTCTTAAACTTCATCAAAATGGCTGTGTTATTATTATTTTCTATTTGTAAGTGTAGTCATCCATTAGCGATGTGCATGATCGAGGAATCCATGGTGCGACCAACAGTTGTCTGCCATCACGTTCATTGGCACTGCCGCTACTGTTGTCGTAGAATATACACATAACAGGGCGTGCACGCATGTATGACGTGCCAGCGTTCCCGTGTCAGTTTTGCGTCGTACAGTGAGCGCGCAGACGTATTTGCGCGCCTAAATAACTAACCTTGTCGTCGTCCGCGTAAACTCATTATTCATTAGAAAATTTAATTTTCATATCATTTCGAAACGAAAAATTTTCAAGTGCATTTTATTGTTAGTTCGAACTACATTCCATAGTGTATAAGTGTTATAGTTGAATCGGTAAGATGTGTTTCGCATTGCCATCGGTTTTGCAGTTTCCGTAATGAACATCGTTCGCATCGATTTCACTTTCGGAACCGATACACGTCTTCACTATAGTTTTTTCTTTTCTTTTGCTATATTAATTATGTTCTTGATCTCTAGACCTTTTGTGACTAATTTGCCACTTTGCCTCCTGTATTTTTAAAGTGCGTCAATTACTTAATTTATTCTTCAAATAGTATTGACAACGTTCGGTTTTGTTATTACTTATTTTATGTAAATTTTCTAGTGTTGTTAAAAATATACATACCTTTTGGTGTTAAAAACAAACTCGCTAATCATCACTATTAATATCTGTTGTTACGAGTCAATAGTTTTTAAAGTAATTATTGAAAACGGCCAGTTTTTCTTTGTACACTGTAATAATGCACGGAATTTTCGCTCTCTTCGATGCAATTGCAATATTAATGGCACACGTTACGAGACTGCGTGATCATAAGAAAACTGTTACAAAATTCTATTAGTTTTAGGTTTCAAAGTTCAGATTTTTCGTTTATTCATTTTTCGATTAGCAGGAAGGCAGTGTTAATCACAATATAAATCATGTTCAAGCTTTTTTTTCATGATATCATATCGTAAAAGAGCCCGTTTTGATTAAGTTACACCACTGACAGCCCTAAATACAAGAGGGAGATAGGGAGTAGAGTAGACTACGCTACGGCAGGACCTCCAACGGTTCGTCAAGACCATCTTTGCAATTTATCTTTTTATTATTCTATATCAGTGATTATATTATAGTCATATCGTAGGTACATCATAATCACCAGCCCTTTTACATCCCCACTGCAGAGGCTCAGGCCTTCCTTATGGATGGTTAAGGAGGATGGGCCATGACCCTCCACGCTGGCCCAATGCGGATTGGAGGGTATTAACGACTGCAAAATGCAGCCGGGACCAACTGGTTAACGTGCCTTCCGAAGCACGGAGTAGCTCGAGATAATTGGTCACCCATCCCGTGACCGACTCTTGCGAAAGTTGCTTAACGACTACGATCGCGGGCCGCGGCGCTTATACACTACGCCACCGAGCCCGTGTATACATATTAACTTTATAATGATTTTGGCGGATGGCGGCAGCCCATTTGGAGGCCCACCAGGACCGGAGGCTCATGGCAGACCGCTCCCTCCATTCCCCCTTAGTCTGCCAGTGCCTATTCCGTTATCTATTTCTCACATTCTGCTTGCTGCCACGTTATACTTTTATTTCAGACTTCTTATACTTACAATTTCTCCGTCCATATTTATGCTGAATTATTATAGTTTCTCTAGATCAGAGCACAAAAATATAAGCTAGTTATCTGTGTAAATTTAAATTTATTCTTTACATTGGGAAACTATAAACTCGATAGCAACATTGAAAAGACACAATTAAAATTCATCACATTTGACTTTTGTAAATTGATTAATGAAGTTTGCGTATATTTTATTTCTAACTAATTTGCTTACAATAGCATTTGCAAGTTGCCACACCAAAATCGAGTGGGCCAAATTCCAATTGTTATATTTAATTATCATATAGGTACTCGTATCTATGTACGTTTATTTAATGTTAATCTTGATATTAAACCTTTTCTTGTTCATTCATTAAAAGATCGGTTGTACTGTATCAGTATTAATTCCATGTGTTATTTGTGTAGATTCTCTTTTGTTTTTGATACTTTTGTTTAATAATTCTTTATCACTGTGCATCGCATGCTAGGTGATCGTGTTATTTGCAATTCTATCATCTCCATCGTGTGATCAATCACGCCATTTGTTGTGTCAAAGTTCAGTTGTTAACTCACATTTTATTGAGATGATGTGATGACCGCGTGATAATGCTATTTGTCAACAGCGAATTGTACTGATAAAATTTGCGAGAGTTTTTGCACTAAATAACGTTTTTTTTTGTCTTGCCAGAAACAATATAAAACAAAGAATGATAAAGAGGATGTCATGTCTTTAAATATTCAAATATTTGTGAATAACGTATTTTTACATTTGAACAAATAAAAAATATCTATTATCATTTGGAAGGTCAATAGGTATATAAAATCTTTTAACTTCGATTAAATCTGTATTAAGTTTCTCTTTATAGTTGGAAGATTACAAAGGCTCGATTGTTGTAATAGACACTTGCTGTACTTTTTGTTATTTGCACACTTTCTCAATGATTCTTTATTCAGGTCACAATACAATCACCGTAATAGCATTTATTTTACGCATCAAACTCGTAACCCTCCCGAAGCGTGTCAACAATTGATCTTTGTCCCGTTTAAAAAATTATCGTTTACCAATTAGATGGAGCTAATAATTATAGAATCGCCTGCGATATCAGTAGCGTGTAGTCTGCGTTATCTATCACGCAGAAGACTTCGTTCAGGTCAAACGGTAAATACAAGGGGAGTGTGCAATATTTTTCTTCAGTTCGCGCTCGTCCCTCTTTGGAGACAGACGTATTTTCGGTTCCGATTATTCAACTATCGTAATTGAAATTAATATTTCAGTTGTTATAATATTAAATTACACCATTTTAACTGTTTCGTGTAGTGTAAATACATACAAAATTACTTCTCCGAGTGATCATTTCAATTGGACTGTTGGTGATGTAGTACGAAAGACTGGTAATTACACTGGAATGGAAACTATACAGAACGTGTGGACGGTGGTGGAGAAGGTCAGGGTGGCCAACGGTGCCGCCGAACTGGCCATCTTCACTGCAATCGTATACTGGTTCTTTACATCAAGGTTGGTGTTGACTTTGTTTTAGAAATTTTCTTAAACGCCATGTGAAAAGTTTATTTAAAAATGTATTACCGATGACTTATAAGTGTCGTTTGGTGATAATTATTTCATACAACTATTGTTTAGTCAGCTATCCTAATGTTTTTAGTTAACTATCTAACCTTAAGTCGATGTATGACGCATAGGTCTTCAAGTTTTCGTTTATTACCCATATCATTTCGATTCTGAAAAAAAATATCTATTTTTCCAAAGATTTTGAATGTACATACAAACTTTACGGACGTGATTTTAACAAAATTATAAGAAAGATTCCAAATTTCGTTTGTGAATATTTACACTGTCATAGTGATTATATTTGATTAATTTTGCTTGTAAATTAAAATTATGGATGTCAAGTAAATTAAAATTAATATTATTCATTCGGTGACGTATCGGTGGCTATAGAGCTATTTCTTTCTAAACTAAAAGAAAAATTAATTTCATTTCGGGTTTGTTTGAACATTATCTCGTGGTGAGATAATAAGTTTATGGTCACCCATCCTGTGACAGGCCATTGCGAAAGTTGATTAACAACTGTATCGCTAACCGAGCGCGCTAACCACTGCGCCACAAAGCCCCTGGTCTATACTACTATACTTGTACGAATTAACATGACACTCGAAGGCCTGAATCTATTTTTCTGAAAAAAATTTTTCGGAATAAGACACCAAACGATTTATTCTATAATTTGTGATACAATGGAGGAGATGACACTGCATCTGATGAACAGATTAGAAGGACAAATTAAATACTCTCAGGTGTCACGTTAATTCGTACGAAAGTAGTTATATTGACTCTTGCTGCCAGTAGTAAAGATCCAACCAATACTTACGTATGCCACTTACATGTAGCCTATAATTTTAAAGCAGTCCTAGCGGATGATAGTAAACCCGTCTAACCCGGCCGACATATGTAATTTGACTAACTATTAACATTTACACCTTGCGTGTGTAATGTAGACTCGATAAAAAAATTGTTTTACCTGATGACATGTTAATGGTCAGTTACGCATTCTTCTTAATGTAGTCATAGTCTATAAAAGATATTTAATTTATTCAAGAAAACTTGTTTCGTTATCGCTAGAACAAAACTCTATTTAATAATATGTAGTATGTTGGTAGTATGCACTTACTTTATCGAGAAATTGTTCCCTTTTACAAACTTTTATTTTATACTCATGATACAATTATACTCCATTTATTATAATATTGGAAAAAAGAGAAGCAGCAGTGAAAAACATTTTATTTTCAAGATAAATTTAAAAAATATATATTATAGTTTTGTTGAAACTTTGAACATTAGATAGTCTGAAAGAGCTGAGCAATTTTCTATTTTTTACGATACCTCGGGGTTGAGATGAGGCCAACATTTTTTAAATTCTTCTTTTCTCCCAAGCCAACATGGAACTAAAACTATCTATCTGTTGATTTGATTATAATTAGAATAGAATTTAGTTATATCTATGGCCATTAAAGAAAGGTAAACAAAATGAAATTTTTATTATTACTTTTATAACATTTATTCAGACATTAGACTTTTGATGAAGACATTGAAAAAACTTCTCGAAATGTCAAAGGTTTAGGGTAGGTATGGGGGCTTAAGAGCGTAATTGTTGTAGGCCACTAGGGCCTGCACCGGCATCGTCCATATTTAATAAAACTTAATAACAAAATCAAAACTATAACAAAACAATAATAAAACAATCACAACTTAATCACAGAAAACCGCAAAAAACAAGAAAAGCAGTAGCATTCACAATGGATGACAATCCCAGATTACGTATTTTGATAATTATGAATACATCATAGTCTCACAAAATTAAACAACTGTACTGCCGAAACGTTTGAAGGGATTAGGCAACGTTTAAAATTTGGTAGAATTATAGTGACATGAGAATCGTGCCGAAACTATCCAACCCTGCTTCTTTGGGTTCTTTAATATGAACACTTTTTATTGTAATAGTTATTAAATCATTTAAGTTAATCCAATACTTAAAAATTTGTTTAATAGATTGCTTAAATGACAACAGTTGAGTATAGCAGCTGGTATTTAAGTGAATATGTAGCAAATTAGCCGTCAGTCTTAAGAGTAACATAATTATTATAAAAAGAACCTTATTTAACTTCTGTCTAATGTTATAGATAAATCATTATAGGTAAAATTATATACATAAATATCTCTAAGTTAAGGACCATTGTACCCTGATAAAGTTTATTTTCTTTAGTCGTGTGCCGTCAAAAGGTCAAGTGGAATAGGTATATTTGACGATTTTTGTATTAATGATGCAATCATTGAAATGATACATTAAAAAAAAAACTTGTTGGACTTCTTTGGGATCGGATGACATATGTAGGTTATAAGATTATTATGCGTTTCTCTAAACTGGATATGTGATACTTTAAAATACAGGAAAATAAAAGGTTAACGCAAAGTTCACGTAAAATTGTTCGCGGGGTGACAACAAGAGCTTTTGAACTGTAATTAACGTCGCGGTACGTTATCAAACACAAAAAAAAATATTACTTATTATGATTAATAACAATATAAATAATTATGTTGAAGTCTATCTATAGTTGATAATCCTTTAATTCAAATCTAATCATCTATATACCACGTTATCTATTCTAAATTCGAAATCAATAGTTCAAAGATTAATTAATTATAACAAATGCAAAGTACGCATTTATCGCACGCAATATTGAAAACAAAAATATTTTGAATTATATTTTCTAACGTCAAAGATTAATGTTGGGATTAAGAAATGCGCTTAATCCATACATATTTAAGTTAATCCGTATGAACGAAAGTACACACATTTTTAGGTATTTTATTTTTAAAAACAAAGATATTTTCTGATAACTTCTGATTAGAAGATTAGGAATTGTGTGTACTTAATCATTTATGTAGTTTGAATTGGACCAAATGTAAGCTTAATGTCGTAGATACCTATATACATTATGTAGGTAATTCTATGTGTATGAAAAACTGAAACAGATATGCTGAAGGAATACTGTTTATAAATTCTATTAACACTTAAAATGATTGAAATTGAAATTAACATTTTTTTTCGGTGTTATTATTCCCGCATGCCTGGCAAAGAGAAAGAACGCATGGATATTGCCCACTCTTGAACTTGTTAACTGCCTTTCTTATTTAACTATTACTAGTTTTCCGCCAGCGGCTTCGCCCGCGTGGTCTTGTATTATACATAAAAACCTTTTTGAATCACTCTGTCTATGAAAAAATACCGCGTCAAATTCCGTTGCGTAGTTTTAAAGATTTAAGTCCTAGAATGGGATACAGGGACAGAGAAAGCGACATTGTTTTATACTATGTCATTATCATCATCATCATCATCAGCCCTTTTACGTCTTCACTCCAGGGGCTCAGGCCTTCCTTATGGATGGTTAAGGAGGATGGGCCATGACCCTCCACGCTGGCTCAATGGGGATTGATGGGTATTAACGACTGCAAATGCAGCCGGGACCAATGGCTTAACGTGCCTTCCGAAGCACAAAGTAGCTCGAGATAATAATATTTTGGTCATCCATCCCGTCGATCGCGGTCAACAATCGCGGGCCGCGGCGCTTATCCTCTACGCCACCGAGCTACTTATATACTATGTAGTGATGTACTATTTCTCGATATTTTGATGCTTGTTTTGTTTCTTTTTTGGAATAATTTTTTTTTAATTGTTCAACGGGAACATATTGCGAATATATGAACCTACTCCTTTACAAAAAAGGCAGCAAAAGTACACATAAGAGTTCCTGTGATTTCTTAAAAAATTAGGGTATAATTTTTTACAAAAAAGATTTTCCCAGTCTGAATAAGCAGACATAAATTGAGAACTTTCTCTTCAGGAAATATATTAAAAACCCCCTTAGGACTTTAAAAACTAATGTAAAACATAAATACCTACGTGGGCGGGATGATAAATAGCTAACCTAGCGTAGAAAAACTTGAATTAGTGTGTTAAAAGTATATTTATTTTTCGATATAGTCTCCTTGAAACGCTATGCACTTCATCCGTCTAAGCTCTAAAGCCTTGATGCCATTCCTGAAGTGGTTTTCTTCAAGCCCTTCAAAATAACTGTCCAAGGCAGACATCAGCTCGCTATTTTTTTAAAATCTTTGTCCACCTTAAACATTTTTGAGCTTAGGTAATAGATGAAAGTCAGATGGTGCCAGATCAGGAGAATAAGCTGAGTGCGGTAGCAAATCATAATTTAATTCTTTTCACAATTTCTGGAGTAGTGGCACCTTTTGGACGTCCTGGACGATGTTCATCTTGGGTGCTGGCACGGCCACGTTTAAATTCAGTCACCCAATTTTTTATGGTCGCATATGAAGGAGAATTTTCTCCCAAAACATCCATCATCTCCGAAAAAAACTCTCCACCTTTTAATCCTTTTAAATGCAAAAACTTTATCGCAGATCGTAGCTCAATTTTATGCATTTCGCTGAAAAAACAAAAGAATGCTTTTTGAAATGTCAATATTTTAAAGAAAAACTATACGATCGATTTGAAATTTGGAACACTGGCAGCTAATGAACCAATGAGTAAAATACTAAGGAGATTTATACAAAATATGAGTTGGGCTAGCTATTTATCATCCCGCCTACGTACGATGTTGTTGGATATTTGGAACTGAGACCAATGTCCTGCAGTAAGGCTGCAAAGATTTTGTTTCCGTAGTACACGTCTTTTCCAGAAACTAGGTTACCATATAGCCTTTCCAAGTTTTTCTTAAACTATATCTTTATATATTGTTTTAATATCTTACCTACTCTGATAACAAGTTCGTTGAACTTAATATTATTATGTTACGATAAGCGGATGGCGCACTTCTAGTTTTGTATGCCCTGTCCTATTGTTATAGAAGTATGTACTCGTATATTCAATGATTTTACAGATGTTATATTTTCATAATACGGCCGTGTATTAATACTGGACGTAAAGACAGAATAGAAAACTAGACGATATTATTGCATCTGTTAATGGTGTATCATCGTACACCATTGACGCGTCCGTAATAAACGTAATTAAACGTAAATCATTACGTATATTATAAAAGTTCTCCGTAAAGCCTTCGGCTACAAAATAATTCACATATTTACAAAAAAAAAAATTAGATAGAAGACATGGAAAATTTGTGTAACTCTTCCTTTGCAAAATTTAAAGAAAAATACTTACCACCGGTGCCCAAAGTAAATAGTACCTGTGACTGGTGAATTATACAAGAAGCATTTAAAACCACTCTCCAAATTTTAGTATGTTAATCTTTACGACAAATAATGAAATACGTGTTTTTTCTTTTTATGTCGTTTAGAACAAAAATGTTGAGTTATATCGTCACCAAGTTATTTTCAAAAAACATACATTTGTGGAAGCTCCCGCTGCCCAGTACGTGCGCTTTACGCGCTACGTTAGTTCCCCCCCCCTCCCTTCCCGCAATTCATTGATAGTAATACAAGTACGTTTGCGAGTTAGTAGCAGCTACCTAAAATGTTTTCGTTTTTTTATGCTAGGGCAAATGGTACATAAAGTTGAAACCTTTCCTTCATACTTTTACGGGCTTAGGACCGTCAAATTGCAAAAATTCTATTAGATACCTACTATTACAATAACTATACTGCTTTAAATTTATAAATAAGTAGGTAAGCAAATATCAAGTTACCTAAAATTCTGTTTAGTTAAACCAATAATAAAAAAAGTAGGTACTTAACTAGATATTCTTTGCAATCAGGCGTATTTAAAAAATCATCAACTTTATGTACATAATCAACTAATCACTTTATCCTACCTAATTTAACTATTTACCTACGTATACTTTAATAATTGTTCAAAGTGCATACCGTTCCTCTCCACACAGAGTCTTGCACGTTTTTGCACATTGTCTTTTAATTTGGCGAGCACTACAGTGTCATTTTTCTCGTGGTCAAATGCCGCACTAATTTGCACTTTTAAGTCCTCGAGGCTTTGTGCTTCTTCAAAATACACACGTCTTTTGATTTCACCCCACAAATAAAAGTCGCACGGTGTTAGGTCCGGCGATCGAGCAGGCCACACGATGGGGCCTCCGCGTCCAATCCATCGATCACCATATTCTATGGTGAGATGATCTCGGACGGCGGCGGCGTAATGGGGTGGTGCACCGTCCAGTTGAAAATAAAAATCCCGGAAGTAGGCCACGGGCAAGTCCTCCATGAAATCGGCAATGACATGCCGCAACATATCGAGGAAGTTGCCGCCGGTGAGCGGCCCTTCGATGAAGTACGGCCCCAGTATTTTCGTGCCTATAACACCGGCCCACACATTGACACTAAAGCGCACTTGATGGTGGGTTTCCCGAATCATATGCGGATTTCTGAAGGACCACCAGTGTTCGTTATGATGGTTATAAAGCCCCACACGAGTAAACAATGCTTCGTCAGTCCACAAAATGTTGGCATTAGGGTGTGCAATCAGCCATTCACAAAAGGTGCGACGGGGCACATTATCTCCATCGTGTAGAGCTTGGACCTTTTGGAAGTGGTAAGGGTGTAGCCCTGTCACATTCAGCAGCTTCCACACGGCATAGTGGCTTACGTTAAATCGGCGTGCGGCATCTCGTGTACTGGCTCGCGGGTCCCTTTCGAAGAAATCCAAGATTTCATCTTCGATTTCAACTGCAAGTCTTGATCTTCCACCTCCGCGAGCGTGAGCAGGCGTAGTAAATTGACCATAGTCCAATAGCCTTTGGTTCACAGCCAAAAATGTCTCGCGACTAGGTACTGCGGGGTTTATTAATCCCTGATTTTGCAGGGCTGGGATGGATTCTGTTTCGTATAGTCTCCGAGCTGCATTTAAACTTTCACCGCTTAAAATGTAACACCGCACCATTTCGTAATATTCGCGATTGGAATACATTCCGACGCGCGAAGTGTGGGGCTGCGGCGGGTGGCGCGCAACACGGAAGCAAAGGCGGAAGCGCGTGCGTTCAAAGGGATTATGCGCGGGTGACTGATGTTGCCGACTAAATAAAAAACCGAGCAGATATCGTCGGCGGTGCATGCGCGGCGCATGCGCGGCGCATCCCCTGCGCCCGCGCCCCTTGCTACCCCTGCTCGTTTCGTTCATAACTAATGTGACAATGCGAATGTTATAATTATCTTGTAATTACAAAAAGTTTACACTTCATTTTGAAAATTTTACATACTGTTTTTTTTTCATATATGTGATCTATTAACGATACCTAATGCCTAGAAAAAATTTGGAGAGTCATTTTAAATGCAGGCGGTATAAGAATTTTTCTTTAAAATAAATATTAATATGAATGAATGACTTTGTGAATGCAAAGTCGGAAAAATATAATATTACTGTAATATAAATTGAGTCCATCTAAATGTGTTGTAAAAAAAATCCCAAATATTTTACATTAGTTGCTAGATGGTTGCTAGTTAATATTAACTTTTGATTTGATGAAATGAGAAATGAAACACCGACTGCTTGGCACCAACTTGATTCTTTAAAATTGACATTCGAACGTGTTATTTTTGGTAGAAGAAATGTTAGTAGGTATTTTTATTAAACTATTAATGTAGTATAAATATCAATATTATAGAAAAATTTAAAACATAATAACATCACATAAAATACTTAAACAATTATTGGTTTTAGTGAAATGAGAGAAAATAGTGGAGTCGTCAATTATTTATTTTTTTTACATACCGACGCCAGAAATAAAACGCTACGAAAATATCTGGACAATAAAATAATATCCGCGCTTTCTTATCTTTGTCGTAGTTACTACGCGTGTATATTAAACTTTTGTAGAGTCTATTTAGAATAGGCTACGTAAATGATTTAAACTAATATTGTAAAGAGGTAAAGCTTCTAACTTTGTTTGTTTGTAGGAGAATAATCGGAAATTAAAATACGGTCATGAAAATTCTTTCAATTTATAAAATATATAAGTATATCATACGCTTAGCCGACTTATATGAGGGAATTAGCTATGTAGTTTATTAGATTTACTAAAATCAAACTAATTAATATTTATATGTAAAGCGACCACAGTTATTGGCCACACTTATGTCTCTGTACACTTAAAAAAAAAAACAAAATCAATAAGTTCTTATTTGCTTGTACTTGTATAATCAACTCTAGCTACAATTACGTAATAAAGTTAATGCAGATGTTTTAAAAATATAATAATAGTCTAATAATTATATTGGTCAAATTAAGTGTAATCAGGTGTTCTTCGCAGTTGAGTATCGAGCCACGTGATAGCTATGTAACCTGCGTGACGGGGCCTCTGCCAACGTAATATAGGATATATATTACCATGGTAAAAAAATAATTAACCGATAATTTTATTAAATGGGTGAATTTGGTTAATGATGGCAGATATTAATGAATTTTGACCTTTTTAATAGCGAAAAATGTTAATCGTTAAAAGGAAATAATATTTCCCTAAAACATGTACGTATATCAAAAATTACTATCGAAATGATGGATGATGAATTCGAGAGACGTTCATCCAAATGTCACTTCTCGAGTGCACCCATACAATCATCTCACTCTCAACCCCGTTTTTCGAGTCTCCTCGAGCTCGGAATGCTATTCGTGCTGGATTCAATTCATCCCACTATTTTGACACTATCTTCGATCATCTCGTGTATAATAGATATCCATACACTTAGTGAACTGCATTTATAATTATTGGTAATTAATTTGTTAGGACCTTTTATTTACCAATATTTTAAGAATTGGTACCATATCTTAAAACTCATTAAAATAATTGAGTTTAAACAACCAGGCACCAAAAAATAAATTCTGTCTAAAAATAATCATCCTGTGCTATTTACTTACAAGACATTCAACACTATCTGTCATGTCAGCAGTTGTCTGTCTTGAATGTTATTAATTATTATACAAATAGCATGATATTCAAATACAAGTATTTGATTTATCGACATAATATTTTACACATAGATACATTTACCTAATTACTTCTTACTTTCCCACAACACCTTTGTAGGCTGGAAGAGATCTCTTTAGAGATAAATCCAACTCTGTGATAACTTTTCTTATGTATGATTTTATTCTTGGGCAATAAAGACAATACATAATTGATTATCACCCTATATATATATTTTGTGTAACATAAAATTGAGCAAGGGGTTGGCATTGTTGCAGCCGCATCGCCGACATGCTGGAGGTGCTGGGCGAGCGCGTCGGCAGCTGGTGCGGCGGCCGCGACCACCCCTCGCTGCGCCAGAGCGTGCGCTCGCGCCGCAGGCACAACGACATTTACGCGAAACTCGACGCTGAATACACGGTAAGGTATTATTATGATCACTCGTCTTTATTATAGCCGTTGAATCTGGAAACTAAAAAAAAAAATTAAAGAGAGATGTCAGATATCACTGCGAAATAGATTAGTCACCTCATTTAATGTATGGCACAATCTTAACATCCTCATACTCGTAAGACAAAGTAAACAGTCTGCTTCAGATAGCGATGAATCCGTATAGGCACTTCACGTTCGTATATAGGTACCTCCTTTTCCGGTATCAATTACTTATTACGATCAGAAAGATGGTGAGAGCTTAATCCATATATTATCCACCTTAAATTTTTTGAATGTAACGAAAAAATGCTCCAATACGTACTTGCTTTCTTTTATAACAAGACTGCAATTTATTTTTTTTATTCCACAACACTGGATGTTGGCCGTCGACGTAACTGATTTGCTTCGTCGACGCTAGCTGTTTCTTACCAAAGAATTTTCTAAAGCAAGAAATTTCCTCCATCAGCTAATCTCTGATAAAAGCCGGCAAAGGCAATAGTTGTGACTGTATATATTTTGTGTACTGGTAAATTTCTTTCTTTTTTAAATTAATTATTTGGTACCTGTAGCACTCTGATATATCAGCCAGAGATTAAAAGAAACGATCACAGTAACTACACTATTGTGATTTGTGCAGAGCGACCGCTTTACTTTCTCGCCAATCTCAAGCCATAGATATAAAAACTTTTTTTTTTATTTCATCAATGAGTCTATCGATATTCTTTCAAAATTAAATGTTTTTTTATTATTAACGAGTTTAATCTAACATTTTGGTTTATTTTTCTTTTCGATATAGATTTGTTTGTCTAAATTCAACAGTTTGTAAATGTCGCTTAAATTAATAATTCGGTAAACTTCAATAATGGACTTTGATTTATTAATATTATAGCCTTCGCTTTGTTCTATAACGATTAATTATATGTACAACCTATGACCTACAGACTTTGAAAGTTGTATTTATTATTGTGATAATACATATTATTTTGGTAATGACATGATTTATGTTAATGTAAAAGAGCTGGTAAATTTCTTTCGCATATTCTTCTTGTCAGTTAAAAGACGTCTTGGTAGGGGAAAAAAAATTTTTGGTCGATTCAAAAATGCTTGTAATAAGCCTACTTGAATAAAGATATTGTAATTTCATTAAATATGTAAATAATAAAACAAGAACAATATAACATATCTATTAATAAAATCAATAAAACATTGTCCGAATGTCCATCGTTTATTGACGATTTCCTCTCTGATTCTCGTGTATGATTGTCTGTTTAAAACGGATACTTTCTACAGAAAATCCTTTCGTGTTGTTTCACTGGTATTATATTTTGGTAAAATATAGATTAACCGTCGTATTGGATAACCCTTACCAAGACAATAGTGTCATTGGGCTAGGGTATCGGTTGCCTTAACCGCTCATTAGCCGTGAGGTAATCGGAGACGTTATTGGAACGTATGCTGTGTTACAACATGACACAATGAGGATTTCGTCACTCCCACACTACTGCTTATGGCTTAATGAAAATTGCAACGATTAATTATTATTACAGATTATAGGTTAGGCGAGGTTTTGATATCTTTTTTCCTTTTCGGACTAGTTTTAGTAACTTTTTGTATGAATTATAGTTATTCATTCGCGAAGAGGTTTATTATTACACAACAGGTGAAGGTTCTGCAATGCGCCGTGATTATTTATTTATTTAATCTTTATTGCCTTTACAGATTATTTTGTCGATAACAAACTTTTGTTTCCAAGCGCGTGGTGTAAATTTTTTTATTATCATATTTATTGTACTTTCGTGATCATAAGAAACGTGTTCAAAAATGATGTGTACACGCACATATCTAATTTAGTATGTTTATGTACGTTATTTTTTTAGTTTGCATCTTTTATTTTCTGTTCAAGTTAGTACGTCTTTTTTTAAATTTCTCTAATTATTATATATAACCCCTTTTTAGAATTAATATAAATTCGCTTCCTAAATCGACTGTTGTTGACTCTATTTATATTTTCATCAGGCGAGATCGACGACATTGTATCGTATCAAAGAAGGTCCCGTGGTGCCTCCCCCTCAGCCGATATCGAGACCACCAGCCGGCCTCGCCTGTGCCAAATGTGCGCCATTATCCAGGGTAAGTGTAATGTATATATATTCATCTCATGAGGAAAGATTTGATTATTTGTTTGCAACGAAAAGGCTCAGAAACCTCTCGACTGATTTTAAAAATTCTTTAATCTACGGGAAACTACATCATTATAATATGCGGTGAATAGGCTACGTTTTATCCCGAAAAATAGCAAATAAAGGGATGAAAATAGGAGTGAAATTTTGTATAGGGAATAAAAATGTTACCATAGCAACCATTGTTTACTGGCGGAAAACTAGTCACCAATTCTTTCGTGGACCCCTAACGTATACTCGCGGAGCCCTGTCACTTCGTGGAGCACGTTGAGAAATAATATATATATTACTACTTTGTCAAATTATTAGAATATTGACAATTTTCTTTTTCATATATTTTTTTAATACAATGTATATGCATATAGTATAAAGCCTCCTTAAAGTTTATTAACAAAATAAATCTACATATTTATTTTTGATGTGTAATGTTTACCTGTATGAATCATTTATATTAAAGCAAATGTAAATAAATAAATTATTCCACAGTGCATTGTGCAATGTGCCAAATACCACACAAAGGAACAAAAAATACAATTTTAGACTTTGGACATCTTGTGTTTATATTTCTTTATCTTCCTCGATGCTTTTGTTAATATTTATGATTGTGTACGTACATATGCGTAGTTTTTAATCACGATACCGTTTTTTCAATATAGTTCTAACAAAAATAGTACTCGCAATAATTACGCGTCGGCCTTCTTTTATTCGATTAAAATTTCAACTCGTGACCTCTTCCGCTTAAACTATGTATTATAAATAAATCTAAGTGATATTATTTTATTGTTGTCCAATTAGAATTTATTATCTAAATATTGTCATATAAAAATCATAATAACACTCGTTATCATACAATCAACCTATATATTACATGATACTTATCAGAATTAAAAATAGATCATGTTATAATTTATACGTAAAATTTAAGTTGATATTGTGTTGTACAACCTGTTCTCTTCTCCGTTGTAAATTTCCTTAGTAATATTTTCTACTTCAAAGGAGTGTATCCTTTAATTGTCAATATTCTCTAATAAGAGTGTAGACAGTAAACGATTGCCGATAATCACACTTTTATTTTTATAATATATTTATAATTTTGCTTAAATTAATTATAAAAACAAACAAATACTTTATGCTCGTTGTCACGTGACCGCATAGGGCCGTGACGTCATAGCGACGCCATTACAGAAGTTGGAGTCGCCGTCGCGGGAAATTTTGGAAGCTAAATTTATTTCTAGATTTTAAGCTTAGTAAACGAATGATACTTTTAAAAAAAATATTTTAGCTATAATTCATGTATATCTATAAAATAAAAATATAAAATTCTTCTTCGAATAAAAAATATTATCATTTTTAGCAAGTCAATAAAACGTATTCTTATGGCTACACATATATCGTGGTAGCAAATTATACTGATAGAACCTTAAAGCTATTTTATATACTTTATAAACAATACTATAGATAATATTAATTTGAATATTATTATGTTTGTGATACAAGAGTTCGACCCGTCTTTATCATTAATATCACCTTTGTCTTTTGTTTCGTTACAAGAATCGGTACTTTGTTAGTAAGGACCGTCTTAATATTGATAATAATTTATTGAGCATTATCGTTTATGTGCATAATTACATGATATAAAGTCAAATGTCAATGTCAGTTATGTACAATGACGTTGACAATAAAAATAATTTTAAATGGATTAACTGTCAGGACACTATGCCAGTAATTCTTAGTTTCTCTTTTCATTTCTGAGAAATTAGGATTAGATAGTTATTTAGTCTGGTCTGGCAAAATATTCAAAGCTGTATGGGTAGCTTTGAATATTTTGCCAGACCAGACTAAATACATCCTAGATTGAATATCAAGAATGTAATAGAAACGAAAATAGTTCCAGCTTTTCTCTTCTATTCTGTAATAGAAGAGAAAAGCTAAAATAACTGTATATTAAAAAGTAATTGTCATCATTTTCTACAAACAATTTTCTCGCTGCGTATTTAAGATAAAATAATAGTTTAATACATTTATTTTTTAAATTACATATAACTAATGCATTCAATGAAAATACTGTGTGTGTTTGTCAAAAAGGACTTATAAATCTCCGAGGGACAATAGCGCAATAAGGATATTACAAAGTAAAATATAAAGACAACACTAGCTGATGGAAAATAAAGCAATAATAAAAATAAACAGATGTTTAGTACTTTAGTACTGGTAGTTAATAAATGATTTTTACAACTGCAACGACCAATGGCCTTGATGTAAACATGAGCTCTTTAGATGAGTGACCAAAAATGTTTTGCAAAATGGGAATGTTTTAAGCCTGTAACATTTACGGAGAACTTTGGTAATTGAACCATTGTGTTGATTAAAATGCCGAATAACTACGTATATAAAGGCAAAGATTCTATAAAATTTTCCTTTAGCAATCTTATTTATATTCATCTTGCTATCGTTGAAGATCTAATTGAATAACTACCTACCGAAATATTTCCATGAAACTTAGAGCACGATATTACCTTCCTTAGCCACCGAGATGATGACAAATATGTATATAAAAGTTCCGCTACTATATGTTTCCTTCCGAACAACTAGGTCTTTCTAGAGCTGAGTCAATTAATTGACGCTATTTTAATAGTTTGATATTTATTAGGTGTGGTTCGCATGTTCGGTGATGCGCAGGTTAAGCAACTTAAGCAACGGCGGGTAATGCGTTGGGTGACCGAAAAAGCTATTATCTCGAGCTCCTCCGTGCTAAGGTGCATGAACCCGTTGGTATTGGGTTCATCTGCAGTCGTTAACACCCAGTAGTCCCCACTGCGCTAGCGTGGTGCGTGCGTCATGGCCCATTCTCCCTATTCGATTCGTTTCGATTCCTTCCATATCGAATGTCTTTGCCCTAGTAGTAGCGGCATTCATAGGCCGGTGGTGATATTGTTTTTATTTAGTTAATAATTACTTACTATCTAATTTTCTACCTCTATGGGTTAGTCACAAGAGGTCGATGTAGTCCGTCAGATGATTGTTTAAGTAGGAGTCTCTAATAAAATAACGGTACAAATATTAAGCTTGACTTTGATTCTAGCTTAATTTTTTTATCACACAACGGTATCTAAATGAATTATGCCATACTTAATTGTACTTTCAATTGGTGTATACTGTTTTTTGATGATATAGCTTGAGACATAGAAAAAAATGCGAGGTATACGGCAGCAGACGTGAAACGGCACATCTCATATGTTTTGAGACTTTTTGACTCTATAGTCTTATTCTAATCTGCCTGGAATATGTTTGTAAAAAAAGCCTGGAAGAGTCGGTAATAAACTTGTAATTTTGACCACCAACGCTCGTCAGGTTAAAATGTCTACTTTTTTTCTTTTTTTTTATATTTGTTGGTAAGAGTTGTCATAAGAAAGAATCTCGAAGAGATTGGGATGACAAATATAAAAAATGTTGATATTAATTTTCTGTCACTCTGTTTCTGAATTGAAAATTTAAAGTTGAACACATCTCAAACCGCCATTAAACAAGTCTTCAACAAGTCATTTAAACAGGTTTCCATTTCTGTTTTTTTTTTTTAATGAACAGTTTATAGCAGTTTTATAAAACTAGGAGTTTTTGCCACGTGAATCGTAAAAAACTTAATCTTTTGAAAATAAACAGTGGAGATTTTGAACTTCTGTGATTACAGAAACCGGCCGTGTAACTTTTAAAATCACGTATAATTATTAATGATACAAATGAAAATAAGTTATGTAAGAAAGTGGTAAATGCTGAGAAAAACGGCTCATTGAAAATGTTGATTTTAAGATCAAAATTGGATGTTACGTAAAGAAATGTATTTGCTAAAAGATTTGTGTTATCTTTAAATTTAATAAAGCTGTTTATACTTTGCGTGATAAGTTCATGGTAAAACTTAGTAGTAGTTATTGACGAATTCATGGTTTTTTTTTTAATAAATAATTTCAATCTTTATGCTATTGTCGAGGCAAAGTATTTATTTACATTTACATTACATAAAACATGTCACCTTTACTTTCATTGTCATTCACTGTTGAAATTTCACAAAACATGACGATGTAAGAATTTTAAAATTATATAAACATTACCTTAACCTCAAAAGTCGAGGTAGAAAAACTGCTTAAAGAGATTTAAGTGGGTATCTTTGTAGCTTTATTCGTTAACGTATTATGCATGAAATGTACGTATATGAACCTTCCACCCACTTTGAAGCGGGCTATTCGTCTCCATCGATTTCCATCTATCGTATGCTTAACAATCTTGTAGAAATTGGTGCCAGACGAGACCTGTATTTGATTTGTCTATCGAGTTGGTGGCCTTCAACTAACCACGTTGACCTTTTTGTTTTCTTGTCTTTTCTAAAGATGTATTCGAAGTACATAAAGATATGTTGGCGGAATATGATGAATAATGATAAATACATGATTTAACATTCAACCTTGCACACTAGACATATTGTATATAAGTCGCGTACTCACCCATACTTCCGTGAGACTTTTCTCTTGATCTTCCGTTAGATATGTAACGAACCAAAGCTGTGATAGGATCTATCTACTCAAAGGTCTGTTATTTTTCTCGAACTCAATACTAATAAACATATGTTTTTAGTCAAGCTATATCTTCTTCGCCCATTCTAATTATCTTGATCTCCGGAATTATAGATAGATCCGGAATAGAGCTATCGCCCTTGCAAATTTTCCGGTGACTGTCCTCGTGCTATAAACGATTGTTTTAGGCTGAGACCGCAATCCGTACTTGTTTAGTAAATCATTAAAATAATTTTTCATTTTTCATTTAGTTTCAGACTTGCTATTGATCGCTATATTTAATTACGCGTTTTTATATGATTTACTTACTGTATTTTTTTATTATTTATTTCCAAGAATACTTTATTAAGGATATAAGATAATTTATTTTATTTATCTTTGCCTACAGGCCAGATCCCTCTTATTTACTGTTAATTTAATTCACGATTGTACCCATAATTTATGAAACGAGTAGTGAACACTATAAATTATGTCTATAATTAATCGTTTATTATTAGTTAAAACGCTATATGTTATTGCAATTAGAATATACCTATGTTCTCTAGATATTGTGTAGTTTTATTATGTCTGTGTACCAAATATACACATGTATTATGTTTTAACGGAGCCCTTAACCCACAAACAGGGCATATTATTAAAATAAACCAATGCCTAATAATAATAACTGCATTAATTTCTTCAACTGTTTTTCTAACGTCACCTTATACTTCCAGACTATCATTCTACTTGATAGTTTTGTTTATGAAGTTCAAGTACATTTCTAGGTCATGGAATGTCAATATTAGCAATATATTCACAATGTGACGTCAAAAGTTGTCAAGAAATATAAAGATTTCATTATTGTAAAATAACTCTATGGAAAAATGAAAATAGAATATCATTTGGGATGTTCGTTGATTTGATTATATTACTAAAAGTATTTGTAATTTTATATATTATATGTAATATTTTGAAGACCCCCATGGCCAATTGGCTCGTTCGCAATTTTCAAAGTGTCATATTTATATCAGGTGCACTGAAGTCTCTGACTCGATTCCCGGTCGGTTCAATATAGAAAAATCTATGTTCTATATTATTTAGGATCTGGATATTGTGGTACTTTCCCCGTTTCATATTTCTGTAATACCTAGTGCTACTAAATTTGTGATCTGAACAATGTATGTACATACATGATGTTGTATAAATATTTACTTATTTCAGATCTAGATTTACAAGGACATTTAAGTTTATCATCACACTAATTGGAGATCGGGATCAATTTGTTATCTTCTTCCATATTTATGGTCCAATTAAGGTTATGTTATCAATTAATTAACCTTACGTTTCAATAATATGTTTCATACATATTTCAATTTGTAAATAATATAGGAAGACTCGTTAGCATATGAGATGATCTAGGTTATTTAAGTATTCTTATCAGCCCTATCTTTATTTCCCTACATTTTCTATCAAATGTCACAAGTTTATTATTACTTTACGTACGAGTGTTTCTCAAAATGTTCTCCATGGAGCGAAATATACTTTGACGTTTAAAGAAATATTGGTCGTATTTAGGCAGATGATTGGATTTAACATGAAAATAGGTTTTGCTTTAAAGTGCCGTGTAAATATTTGATTTGCAAAAAGATTCCATCGCTAATAAACTTTGAGTACTATTATTACGGAAGTCAAAAGTAACTGTCTACAATCCGGAATGATGTCATCAAGCAGTCAGTGGTGTCACTTTCACTGGAAATAGGCTAGAATATTTGGTATTGCATTCTGACTTTGACCTACGGTAACGTAATTTACCCCTTTTTTCGAATTTTTCCGAAATAAGGGCCAGTCGGATAAATCGAAAAATTATAATTATTTTAAAATTTTATGAGCTCTTCATGTTTCTATGCATGTAAACTATTGAAGAACTATATGAAAAAAAAGTAGGTCATCTTTAGAAAAACTTAAATAGTCAAATCGTTTTGTCGATGATTCTATATTTTGTCTTGAAAAATTCAACGTCGTCCATATTGAACTGTTTACACTGTCACTTTCTTCGAATAATTTGTATAAAAAAGATCTTTGTGTAACGATTGAACAAGACACAAGCAACCCTGATTATTAAGCAATATTATTTTCTACAATAGATTGCATTTGAACATTCATTCACTTCGCATACGCACACCACCTGTACCACTAACCTACTTTTGGCATCAGCCTGTATAGTATACTTGACTGACTTTAGTTTTATTTTTTTAGAATTTGCACGATGTTTTGTTGAATACTTTCAAATTAATTCGAATATTCAGTTGTAACTATAGTTTAATATTCAGATAGCAAGTGCATTGGGACTGTGGTGTTTTATCAAAATGAAAGTTTGTTATTATATAAAGTATTGTTTTTCACCCCAATAACATTGTGTCAATTCTTCTTACCTATGTTCATTTAAAAATAACTTAAAACTCAATTTTACCATTATATTACTACATCTATTTGAAACTGAATTATCCTGACTTTTCAACTTCAAATATTAATTTTTGAAATCTGCGAATGGCAACTCAACTATTACCTAACTCAATCCAGAATATTTCTTTAGTGATGCCAATACAACCTAACTCTTCAAATGATCAATAATAAAATATATAAAATCTTTTATATAATAATAATGACATATTTTGCCATACACACTGTTCATAACTATTAGACTGAATGTACCGTATTCAGAAATTAAATTAATTAAACTTTCACTCATAAATTCTGAGGTACTACGAAGTTAGTTGGAACTGCTAATCTTCAATATTTTACCATTTGCTCTTGTAGTATTCTCTTCTGGTCTGTCTTCATACATAACGATAAGAATATCTTCACGGACTCATCATGATAAAACAAATACCTTGATTGTAATTAGATAATCAAACTTGATAATAATATCGTTGATTTCCATAATAAATCTTCAGGCCGATAACTAACAGTATTTACAGTAAAGACACAATTTTGATAACTTAAATGAAATTTTTGCTAGATATCCCCTGAATAAATACTTAGTCTGCAATTTATAGAGCTGACTGCACGATCAGCATACCGATTATGGAAATTTATCACTGGCCACTGAACTTGAGAAGGCGAAGGGAATTGCTGTAACCGGTTTATTAGTTCGCTTTGTCCTATGCCACCTATTTTTCTATTCTTGTAGCATCACGGAGATATCTCTTACATCTCTAAATGCTTTGATTCCGTCTGCATATTAAATGAATAACCTTAAGTGAATGAATCGGATATAGGTAGAACTAAGGTTAATCATGCTCATTTTAAATAATATTCTGATCACGTGTCGAATACAAACCGAGGATATAGCGAGGATGTCCAGTCCCTATTGTTTGTTTTAAGATTTTCCTTTTTACTTATCAAACGTGACTTAGATTATTGATGTGAAACGTGAAATGGTCATTTTAAATTTAATGAAATAATATCTTCACAAAATGGATGCATTTTTGGTTGCCATTATTTAGTTATATCAATGATTCTTTGTTTATAAAGGAGGATTGTCTTTTCTTATCATATCGTATGCACCACCAGGTCGGTGACAACTGTTCTCTGTCTCATTCATAGTTTGCTGTGTGCATTTAATGAACGCACGTTTTATGTTCCAAATTTAAACATAAAGCATACTTTTGCGTAGCGTCGCGGCGCGGTGGCGTGACTTTCTGCCGACCAACCGGCGCGAGCGCGCTTCTTGGTTAGTGCGACGACCTCGCTCGGTGTAGAGTACTATTGAATAGATGTGCAAATGCTAGTCTGTTGCCAGATAATCGGCAGAACGTTTACGGAATTAAAACTTTTGTAATCCTTAAAATTCTTTCAATATTATTTGATCAGTTTATAGGTACTGAATGATTTCCAAATTCTTATTCGACAACAAAATGAAAAAAGTACTATTTTATGAACCGTCGAAGATCTGTTTAAAACAAGAAAGAAATCAAAGCAATGCTTTTTTAATAGTTTTGGGAATTTAGCTTGATCAGCATTTATGCTTTATAGTTATTTATTTACATAAAAATAACTTGGCATAGACGATAACTACTTCTTCTATTTTTATTTCAATGCTCTGTATCATCTGTGTGTTGACTACAGATTTTAATGTCACCACAAATAGCTTCCCCCTCTTTTAAGATACGGGAAACTACAATGTAACATTTCTATCCTCACGTGGCGCTAACAGCCAAACAAGGCGTAATAACATCAACAAAATTATGACTGCCATTTAGATTTTCAGTATGTAAATACAACTTAGAGTTATGATATGATATATGATACGTCGCATCATGCACGTGTTTATATTCCTGGAGCCAAATTATATTATTGTCACCGTGGCGACATTACAAGTTGATTGACTAATGTTCGTCTCTCTCTAGTTCTTCTCAATGGCCATTGCTGTCTCATTCTATCTTTATTGATGCTATTTCGCTATGGTCGGGGCGGGGGACCTTGCCCCTGATTTTCCTAATGATGTAATAACTAACGGTACACGGTTATAATACATTTGCACGAATTCCGTTTGTCTGTCAGCTGTTTTGTTGGCATATTTTTTTGCTAATTGTTGGTTTATTTTTAAACAGTTTACGTTTATGTTACGCACGCTTGTTGTGCCGTTTATTTTTACATTTACCTACACATTATATGAATAACCATTCGAAATATGTTTTGATAATTTTCAATATTGTCGGTAACATTAAATTTTCCTTTGTTTTACAATTTGTATCTCTGGTATATTTCACGTACGGATCCTTAACGTATTATGTTATCGCCTATGTTTATCAGGGAAAATGTAAAATTGTAATAAATAATTCTTTTACATCATTTTCAATTCAAACAATAAAGTATTTTCTCTTATATCAATTTGTATAACTTTATTAACAGATAAAAATGAGGTTATTTTTCATCGCCCACTTGACGAATTCAATTCGCACAAATAAAAGTCACGAAAAAATATACATAAAAGCATTTTGAAGAAAACAAATATAATTTAGCTTAGATTTTTGTTTGCATGTCTTCTTCATTTTTTTTTACTATAGCAATACATTTCAATTTGCTTATGCAGGAATCGTGGCAGGATCCGAAAGGTGCAGAAACCGGTGCAGTGATCAACGTGATGAACATAGGCAAACAGACGTTCTCCAACCGCGGGGTGGTCTCCCGATACCTGTGCGACCTGACGCAGTGCGCCAACCTGATCAATTACGATTACGAGGACGTGGTGCCTAAAGTGAGTTATTGTTAAATAACCCGGTCATAGGTCGTAGATTACGTGCATACATCATTACATCATCTGCAGTATTAAGAGCTGACTATAGCCCCACGACGAGCCCCCACGTCGATTGGTCCTGCGCTGCGTTGTAAGTACAACATAACGTAATGTTTTAAATATGAAACTGATACAGAAGCGTTGTTAGAGAAATTTAATATACTACTCCTTTCAAATTAACATGATTCCTGAGGCCCTTCTCTATTTAAATCTATATAAATCATATGCGTGAAGATTGTCTTTGCATTAGAGGCAGTAACAGCTCCTGCCTTCGTTGCATCATAAATTATCTAAAAATCGTTCGTCGGAGGACTCAATTTCGTTTCCGGAGCAAGGTTATAGGCATTAGGAGTCATATTAATCCGTACGTAGGTAAGTGGGGTGCTGGCGTATATGTGTCAATCTTGGAAAAATTTGATTATAGATATTTAGAATTACTATACGAGGCGCTGATATACCTAAAAAGGATGAAAGTCACAAAATATAAGTCTAAAAAATAGTCCGGTAGCCGATTGAATACGGAGGGGTTGTTATTTATAAACAAGGACATGAGTTTCCATCGCTCTTCAGTCTTTTTAGCTTCTTTTTCATTAAATATAGTGTGACGGTAACAATTGACAATGATGCCCGAAATATTTAAAATCAAGTTAATTATATAATTTCATATCCCTATATTCTAGGTCGCGAACTGGTCGGTTTCGAAACTAGGACAAGTCTTGAAAAATTCAGACGAATGATAACCCTACGTTACTGGAACAATGTGATTATTTTTTTTCGCAACATTGATATTTTAATGTAATAACCATAAGATATAAATTCCAATGTAATGTACGGGTAATATAGTACACAAATTTTCCACTAAGGTATTATAGTTCCGTTTATTAAACAAAGGTGAATCAGCCAAAGTTAAACGACAGAAAAAGTTATGGTTCGGTTTCGAGATGCCAATGCAAATATGAATCACGCATTCGGGTCGCTTCACGAATGTTCACGGCCTCATATATGGATACGTATGCAATCGAATATACGTAACCGGTTCTCGCAATTTGTATTTAAATTATGACGTGGTTGCATCGAATAATCTAGTTATATATCATCAATATAGATTTCCGAGTTCATGTAATTTTAAAGCGATTTATTAAAAAAAAATGTAACAAAAATAACAATATTTTACAACAAAACATAATTTTGTAAGATTATTGATTTAAATAATTGAGTATTCAAAAACCATATAAACTAAGTATTAATTAATAAGTAAAATCGAATATTAAGGAAGACAGAGTTTTCCACCATCAAATTGTTATATGCAAGAAATGCAAGTACCACAGCATCGGACGATCCACCAATATCTATGCGCCTGAGTCAGACGACATGTTTCTCGTCGAGTGTGAGGGGGACTCTTAAAGCGTTGTAATTAACACCTTATTGTTAATGCAACAAGATGAAATATGAATTATAATTTACGTTCTTATCGTCGGAATCCGTAGATCTGCTCAGTGCAAATGCCTATATTAGTTGGAATTTAATGTATCAAAAACTAAATTTTATTTAAAAAAAGGCTTCACATACTTAGCGAATAAATATTTTATTTTAGGTTGTAAACGATGTCACCTTTCAAAGTGCCATAGAAGAGGTAGCCAAGAAGGAGATGAATAATATATTACATATTAATGGTAGCGGAGGCGGTGAAGGCGGTTACGCCTCTCTTTATAAAACAACGAGGCAGAAAGTTGAGGCGCGTGCTCTCAAGGTGCTCAACAATATCAGCTCTGCGATGTCGAACGGTGTTCTGAAGTGAGTCATTCATATATACAGTCAATTTAAGAGATTTATTCTACACTAGCTTTCGCCTGCTGATTCGCCCGCGTGGTCCTTAGGGAAATGCTTAGTGGGATAAAAAGTATCAAATATAAAAAGTAGCTAATACCCTATCTGTATACCAAATTTCATCAAAATCCGTTCAGTAGTTTCGGCGTGATTGATGGACAAACATCCAAACATCTAAACATCCAAACAAAGAAACTTTCACATTTATAATATTAATAGGATTTAGTTGTCTCATTACCATCAACAGCCTATTAATGTTCCCATAGCTGGTGCTCGATTCTTCCTTATGGATAACAAATCGAATAGGGAGTATAGACAATGACCAACCACGCGGTAACAGTGCGGATCGGTGGGTGTTAACAACTGCAAATGCAGCCGGGATCAACAGCTTAGTGTGCCGTAGTACGGAGGAGCTCGTGATGAGAAATTTTTGGTCACCCATCCTATGTTCGACAGACCAGCTGTTTAAACCTGTCTTTCAGAAGAAGTAAAACGAAATATCAATAAGATGCTACCCTATGGTTAGAGTAGAGTAATGATTAGAGGGTTAGTTAGGCGTTCACATCCCAGGTGTGCGGACTATTGACAACCTTTTTAGCTTATTTTTTAATAATAAGAAGTTACAGTAAAGTGTTATTTTTTCATAAAAATATAAATCTCGCACGCAAACACTTTTCTCATCACCTCTATCATACGCAAATAGGACCTTAATTTGTAGAGCCACTAAAAGCATCTCAAGGAAGCGATGTTTTCATACAAAAAAAATTACAATTCTCTATCGATTAGGATTAATATGTGTTTTGCATAATCTCTCAGTGTTATACTCGACTTTTTTTACAGGAAAATTAACACTAATAGTTCTTAGTCTTAAATTTGACTTTACGCCTGAATAATTACTTTTTTTTTAGCTTTACTTTTTTTAAGTTAAACAATGCATAACACAATATCAATTGGATGAGATCGACGACCAATCGCTTCCGATATAGATTCAATGACACTTGGATGTTACCCTTTTTTATTTATGTTTTTATTGTGTTTCAATGAAGTACCAGGATTGTTTTTCGTTTAATAGATTTCTAAATATAAACAATATTTATATGTATATTTTAACCAACACAACAGCAACCATAGGCGTAGCTAGGGGGGAGCCATGGTTGGTCACACCCACCCTAGACTAGAAAGAAACTTCATAATTAAAAAGATTTATGGCTGGGGCCATGGAACCGCCTAGAAAAAATCCGTAGCTACGCCAGTGGCAGCCACCTAATTAATTTGTGCCGATAACATTTTATAGAAATTATTTTCTGCAGACTGGTGGCGTGGGTTTGTCACAAAGCTATACGTCGGCTCGCAAAAGGTGGATGTGGCACCCGTATCGCGTGTGTGGAGCGATTGCGGCGAGCTAAAGCGGCCGGACTACCGCTTATATTCGTGCCACTGCATAGGTCACACTTGGATTATATACTAGTTACATTCGCACTGTACCTGACTGGACTTAGACCGCCTCTAGTCGCTGCTGGAGAGAACATGAGCATTCCTTTCTTTGGGTGAGTGTACATGAGAATGATAGTGACGGATAAAAGTAAGACTGCGTATTCGTACTGATCTACTCATATATTTGATGTCAGGATGAATGTATGTACGTAATCATACGTACGAGACTGCGAATACGGACGATAGTAAGCTAAGGAAATTGAATTTCACCCACCTCCCAGTATCCGTTGAGCTGAAATTTGAAATATACCTTTAGCTCTGATGACAATACAGTTATATATAATCGGTATTATTATTAATACAAAATGGCCGCCGTTACAAAATGGCTACGTACATGTTTCCGTACCCAATAGGGCTACTAAATGAAAGGGTTTAACTTATAAAATACAACACACAAAAAATAAAAGCTTGTTTTAAAAAAATCTTTAAACTTCTGCAGGCCAATTCTGTGATTATCGCATTTCAATAGAATCTCAATTACTTGCATTTGCCATTGTATTATCTACCTGAAGTCCAGTATTATTAATGCTATTTTGGCACAGCAATGATGACAGATATATAATAATATTACAATTCAGGCAGATAGCATAATAGCACAATGCAAGTAGATGAGATTATATTAAGTTGCGACTGGGTAAAAAAAATGCGATTCTATTTAGTCCGTCAGTCAGATAATAGAAAAATATTAGATACGTGTTTTTTTTACTTCAATTTAACAAGAAATAGCTTAGATAACAGGCATTTAAGTTGGGCTCGCTACGTCACAGTTGAGTAGAAAACGTACTCTAACGTGACGTCATGCGAAATTTCAACTCAATGTAACGCCGTAATTTTATGATTACGAAAAAAATTAAAAAATACGTGTTTAATATTTTTTAACACTCTACCTGACGGACAAACAAACAAAAATTATTCATCATCCCTATTACGTAAATATTAACAGAATCCTCTAGTATTGGCAAAATTTATTCCATATGTATCACAATTCTGGAAGAAGTTATTCTTATTATCTATTTTTTTTTTACTTAAAATTCATAATTTATATTCGAATTGTTTTGACAGGTGGTTCCTCCGAGGTTGTGGTGCTTTCTACATAAGGCGGCGTGTTGACGGCTCCGATAAACACGGCGACCCCATATACAAGGCTGCACTCAGGTGAATACTTAAATAGCATTAACATACATATTTAACATTAGAAACAAATGTAGTTTTTTAGGATTCTGTACCCAAAGGGTAAATCTATCTGTCTGTCATTCTCATGAATAATGAACCTGGGATAGTTAGACAATAGGAATGACTACTAATTATTGTTGGTTTGTCCGTCTGGTAGGTTGCTGAAAAATATTGAGCGCGTATTTTTTTCGTAATCATTAAATTACGACGATACATTGAGTTAAAATGTCACATGATGTCACACTTTGGTACATTTTCTACAAAACTGTGACGTGGCGAGCCCTCAGCGTAAATACCTGTTATCTAAGCTATTTCTTGTTAAATTGAAGTAAAAAATACGTATCTCTAATATTTTTCTATTATCTGACTGATGGACTAAATACAATTTCTTTTTTATTACCCAGTCGTCATCCTAATTGAAATTTTCACAGATGCTGTTTTTTTGTTGCTGATTGTAATCAACAAATATTAAAAAACACTATTTAAGAGGGCTCCCAAGCAGAAAACGTGTTTTTTGCTCGATGCCAGTACTTAGCCGGTTTTGTCAATTTTAAGTTTAAAAGAAATGTTTCTACGTATGTACTGTAACGTCCGTGCACATTACTATAGGTAGGTTTACTCTTCGAACGGTTTATATTTGAAATTATTATTTTTCCGTATTCGAATTCGCGTGTTCCTGTTTTGCTGGTGGATAATCTTTTTTCTGATCCAGACCGGCACAGAGTCAATATCTTAGCATTTAGTTATAAGTGGTTCGTAGTATGTTATTCGCAAATAAAATCAAGACTGAAGAATTACACCAGTATTTCATTGCGCCATCCAGAGCTACCGCTGATCCCAACATTAGAGTACTTAATTTACACAAATGCCTACAATATAAATAAATTGTGTTTAACGCGACGTCGGTGTCATTCGTTGTTATTCTATTAGAGTGGTCAATACGTTAGCTACTAGAAAAGGTCAAATTCGAATTCTGCAATCAATTTTGAAAACTTGGTTTATTTATAGATTAATATTTCAAATTGATTTGTTGATTATTTTAATTTTAACGTTTCAATATGCACATTAACAACTTGAGAAGCGAATGTTTCTTCAATCGACTTTAGTGTAGAACTATAAATACATTCTTAATACAAAATGCTTAAAAAATCGACTTGGTCCCTGGCACCCTGAGATGGGAATCGAACCCACGATCTTTCGCAATCCGGGCGACTACTCTATAACCACTGAGCTACCCAGGACCTAACAGGAATGCAAAATGAATAAAAAATATAATGACTATAAATACAGCCCAATGTTAAAATTATAATTGTATGATGTATATGAAATACATATATACAAGTGGTCAATTTTAAGTATCAGTAGTGCCGAAGCTGAACTGAATTACACTGTAGGCTCATTTCTTTGGTGATAAATTACACATTCTATGGAGAATAAATAAATATAAAAAAACAACGTTTTTAAAAAGTCATCCATCCATATATCGCCTGTGAATGTCCCTGGCATACAATTATGTATACCAAACAAGTATATAAACAATTTAACGTATGCACACATATTGCTTAACTCCTTAGTCAAATAGCTAAAACACCCATCCAGGCATGAGACAGTATAAAAAATATCATTTTCTATATTGACGCAACCGGAGTCGAGTTCGGGTCCTCAGAGATGGCGACACCTTGAAACAAACGAGCGAGCCACTCGGCTGCGAAGGTGAAATATAAACGAAACTATTATGCGTTAAAAAATCTCGAGCATCCCGCATGCAGGCTAACACTCAGTGCACAAACGATCTGGGTTTAATGATGACTTTAAGCTCTAATAACACTTTTTAATTTAAAAAATGTTAATTTAAACTAATAACGGTTTTAATGGACATTTGTGCAGGGCGTAAGGATAAAACGCCCGAATTCGGAATCTACAGAATGCGTTAAAGAAATTTAAAACGACAGACTTGGGATAAAAAATTTTTGTACAATGGAAAACACTAGAATTTATATTGTATGCGATATATATTTCTATAACGCATGGTAAAATTTATACATTCTTTGTTCACAGGTCTTACATTTTGCATAGTTTGACTGCAAAAAATAATCTGGAATTCTTCATTGAAGGTGGACGCACGAGAACTGGAAAACCACAACCGCCTAAAGGTAAAAAAAGGCTTTATATACATAGACTTTATTAAAATAAATAAATCCAAACTAACATTCTGAATGCATAACTACCAAAATCTGTCTGTTTGTTAAGTTCTTAGACTGGCTAATAATAATAATTAACACTATTGCTCGCACATAATTATTAATATTATGATAACAATATTGTTACTAATGCTAGGGTGCGGCGATCTTATCGCTAAAAGCTATCTCTTCCAGACAACCTTTGATTCGTGTAGCATTTGGAGAGAAAGGCCGTAGGTAGTATGCCAGTAGTAAAGATGAAAACAAAAAATAATATAATAGAAAAATGGTAACAGATTAAGTGTGATATATATTCGTAAAGAGATAGATTTGACTCTTCAGAAAATCATATGCTACTTTATTATGCGTAAATATAAGAGGTTGAAATAATGCGTCTCACCCCCGCACCTTGATTGAGACCCGTAAATATGCTACTGCGCGTATTTCTACTTATATTTTACTTAACTTACTTACTACTATTGTACAAATAAAAAAAATGTGTCATGTCTTGAATTAGACATTTTGAATAATTATGTTTAAAGTACGTATATTTACACAAGTAAAATACGTATATTTACATAAGTTGCGTTAATCTGTCAAAATTAAGATCTAGAATTGGACACACTAACCTTGATTTTGACAGATCAATCAGGATTTCAGTTAGACAGTTAGACCTTGCTATCATAGCTGCAGAGTTTATATATAAAAGCAGCTAAATAAGTTGTCTCTTGTTATATTTGTCGGTCCATAAACATATACTAATATAATATTTGTATGTTATGCAACATTTGTGCTCGGAAGATGTACTAGGTGAGTGTTTACCGTAGACGAAATGTAAATAGACATTGAAAAATATTAATTTTCCTTGGAAAATACTTATATATATATAAGACTTCTTTTATGCTATAGTATGTTGTACTTCTACTAGCTAATGTCAAAGTTAGGTCAACATATATAAACGAATTAATTTCGTTATATTTATCGTAATAATATTTTAAAGTAATTTACTAAAGCCATTTATGTTTCTTGTTCGATATACATTATACGATATATAAATCACTTCACTTTGTTTTAAATAGTATCATCTGAAAACAAAAACTAAAATCCTTCAGTCATGAAAGGTTCAAAGAAATGTCTATAAAATTTAACAACGTAGTATATCATTCGTGTGAATTAACTATCACAGCTATTACACAGTTTAAATAAGTAGGGCCGGCCATAAGATGGGTGGCCAAATACATTATGCTTGTGGTCACCTATCTCACAGCTTGACGTTGGTTGCTTCAAATTTAACGTATTTTAGTAAATAGTGTCTGCTTTAAGGTATTGGAATAAACAATAAATAAATTACTTTGCCCGTAGCCGGTATCCTGTCGGTGATAATGGACGCGTATTTAGACGGTACAATAGACGACGCGTTGCTAGTGCCTGTTGCGCTCAACTACGACAAACTAGTGGACGGAAACTTTGTGAGGGAACAACTCGGCATGCCCAAACAAATGGAGACCTTCTGGTCAGCGCTCAGGGGCATCTGGTGGACCCTGAACACTGACCACGGCACCATCAGGGTAGACTTCAATCAGCCCATCTCACTCAAGGTCAGATACAAAAAAATCCACTTGTTATTCTACTAATAACATTCTTGTAGGTTATATGAATAATATCACGTACCTACACTGTTGTTATTTTCCAAGTAAAATAGAAAAGATACCGATTTAATAATGGATTTTATGTAATATTTTTACTTTTATATCTAATACAAAAAAAAAATACAGTTTTTTAATACCATATTATAGTTGAGACTTCTATTTATTTATTCTTTTTTTATTGTTGCACGACAAAGTGACTGTAATATACTTGGTGCGAAGTGACATTACAGTCTAATAATAGTCGCAGCTGTCTGAAGTCAAAACTACTTCTGGTAGCCACCACTATCTTGCCGGCCTGTTAAAGAGCCTTTTCACACCTCTTTTGAAGCTTCTTCACTTTGAAGCGGGTATTTTAGTTATGTGTAATTTTTTCTCAGTAGAAATTCATCTGACGTAAAAGTACCGTAGCATAGTTTGTTGTTTACCAATGCACTGTAAACGTTCATGTTTCATATGTAAAATCATTTTTCTGTTACATTTATAGGAACTAGTGACGTCATTCAAGAAATACAACTACTTGAAAGCGCCGATAGAGAGACCATTGGCATCAAACAACAACAGTCTGGGCGTGAATCTGGACCAACGTATACTGTACAACAATAGTCACTCGAGTTTGTTCGGCGCTGACGTTACCATAGAGCACAAGATCATGGTCGAAGCTATAGGCAGACATCTTGTTTATGGTCAGTTTTTTTACACGATTCGAAGAACGTTATTTATTATGTTTATGGTACTGTGGCTGAAAAAGAAAAAACGGAACTCTCATCCGGTCTGTTTGTATATTTGCCACAGGTGATTTCTTCTGAAACTACTAAATTCATTGAGTTAGATTTGATACACATTTTGTTATTTGGAGTTGGTACCAAAACGTGGCTTTCTTGCGTTGCTTTGTAAAACGGCGAAACTTTATTATGGTAGCATTACATTATAATACAACCTTTGTGGGTATATATTATAATGGCGCGAAGAAATCAAAAATAGTTATTTCCCTATTAAAATCATACAGCATATCTATTGTTAGAACGAGATAAACATATTTGAATAGCTTTACGTGCCAACTCCAATCTCCCCTCGTCGTATAACACGATACACGAAAAAATGGCCGCGTTCAATGAAGTTTTATTATTTTTATTAAAATTCAAAAGAAGTACAATACTTACGCACGAAATGACATCTTTTTGCTTTTCTCATTGTCAATATATGATTAGTGCATTGATAATACACGTGGAAAGGCAATTTTTTCCACAACTTTTCTCAGAAAATTGACACGAGTAAACATGACATTAACCACAACGCTAGCTAAAACGTGACTAAAGCGAAACTCGGGCAATCGATTCTTGTTGTCAATGCTGTTTGCGGATAACCCGTCTAAACTATTAAATACATCATAGCGTTATCGCATCTGTTCGTCGTGCAGACGCCGCCCAAGCGTCGGCGCTGATGTGCACGAACGTGGTGGCGTACGTGTTGCTGACGGAGCGGCGCGGCGGCTGCACGCTGCGGCAGCTGCAGGACGCCGTCAGCGCGCGCTCCGCCCACCTCGCGCGCGCCGGCCGCGACCTCGGCTACACGGGGGACGCGCCCGCCGTGTGCAGGCACGCGGTCAGTACCCGGCACTGTTACAGTACACACCTCGCCCGCACGGGGGACGCGCCCGCCGTGTGCAGGCACGCGGTCAGTACCCGCGCACTGTTACAGTACACACCTCGCCCGCACGGGGGACGCGCCCGCCGTGTGCAGGCACGCGGTCAGTACCCGCGCACTGTTACAGTACACACCTCGCCCGCACGGGGGACGCGCCCGCCGTGTGCAGGCACGCGGTCAGTACCCGGCACTGTTACAGTACACACCTCGCCCGCACGGGGGACGCGCCCGCCGTGTGCAGGCACGCGGTCAGTACCCGGCACTGTTACAGTACACACCTCGCCCGCACGAGGGACTACCCATCTACCCATTTAGAACGTCACTTACCGGGCACCGTACACACCTCGTGCGCGTCCCACGAGACATCTTTTGGACTCGGATTGTTGTTTACAATCAGCAACCATACTATTACATTTCTGTACTTGACTATAAACCTAAACGCAAAATAAATAAAGTTTGAAATCGATTGATGATTTTTTACATGTTGTGTGGTGGTGGGTGGTGTATACTTACGGTATTTGGTTTCTATTGCGATTACACCGTCGATCCGTCGTTGCGATCGGTCTGAAACGACGACTCGTTAAACAAATTGGGCCCTTAACAAATATGAATTCATAGGTATAAGATCACTCGTTACCCACCTAACATCTTACTAACGAGACTCTTTTTTCTTAAGAACGCGTTTAAGTACAGATTTATTGTTAATATCAAATACTCATCCCTTTTGTTTTTGATTGAACAGTTGGAAATGCTCGGACGCGGCTTAGTTCGCAAAGAGGGTAGCGGTGACAAGACAATAATCAAACCGCAGTTGTCTATACCGGCATCTATAGAACTGTCATACTACGCCAATACAGTGGGGGTGCATTACGCGGCCAACGCAATCATGGGTGAGTGATCTATGTAATTTCAACTCTATTTACATATAATAGAGTGTAAAATATTCATCAATAATCGGGCTAGGGTATAGACATTGTAATAGATTAAAACTTATATGTAAACTTAGAGTAAAATTGCGTTCACTGAGATAAGTCTTTATACTCGCATGTACGCTGTTTACAAGATTTTTGACGAAAAATGTATATCTTTCTTTTATCTATTTTTTAAAAAAACATACAGCAGTACGTCGTGTCAATACTAAAGTAAAAATTACTACCATCAATTTTGGACTTAGCTGTCTACAAATTAAGTCTTAAAATGTATTGGAGAAAGTAAACCTGTCGATAGTTCTCTCGGTTATTTTAATATTATACTAAATGCAGCCCTCATTTCAATTTTATCAATGTTATACGAACTATTTTGATTTGTTTTTATAGCAACTGCTTTAGAAAGCATTCTACAGTCGCCGGGCGCTGATCAAGACATAGTCCGACATTCGGATTTGCTCGAAGCGGGTCTTCAGTTAAGCGAGGTGCTCAGCCAGGAGTTGATCATCTGTCCGCCGTGCACTACTGTCAGTGAACGATTACTCGACGCTATCGATTCGCTTGTCGCTGACGACGTGCTAGCGAGAGTTGAGGTACGGATAAAATAACACAATTTTAATTTATAATTACTAATGGTGGGGACTTTTAATTGGCTTTTTGTCTTTATTATAGTTTCATAAAATATTTCATTGTATAGCTGTAAGTCTTCCAACAATTTAATAAATAAATAAAAATAAATAAATAATAGTAAATAACAATGCTAACTAGTCTGTGACCTTTGAAAATTCAAACATTTTTATTTTGTTTCTGATTTAAATAGCTCCTTTCACTAGTGTCCCAATAAAACTTTATTGCGTCATGCATTTATTAGTTAAGAAAATTTTGATACAAGTTTTAGACCCCCTCGTACTACGTGAGAAAAAGTAAGAATCGGTTAAGCCACTCCCCTTTATTAATATTTGTCAAGTAAGAGTTTAAACGATAACGAATGAAAAATAATGTATTTTTTGCTCACGCTACATGTTGCTCTTTAGATAATTCTACTACACTTATGTCTTTAGAACTACAGTTTATTCACTAGTTATAAACATTAAATAATGAACTTGGAAGAGAAAAAACCCATAGACAAAATATGCACTGAATCTGTACCTGTATGAATGGAGCTTTTACAAAATTTATTAAATATCATAATGTACCTTATTAATTTATAATTGGTAAATAGACAAACCCTGGCTTGGAAGAGGAGCGGTGGTCACGTCGCTTCGCTCAACGGCTGGAGGAAGAGAACGACGAAGAGAGACCAGACCCAACGAGACTTATCAAGTACAAAGTCAACTCGCATGCCGCCGCTATTGCGGAAAGGTAATATACTATGCATTATCTTAGTACACTTACTAATAATAAACTTATAACGTTTTTTAGTTACACATAGCTCTGTCCATGTCAATGTCAGTTTTAGTGTAACTCTACAAAGCTTATACATAGTTAGTGAAGCCGCTAGTGTTACAAGTCACTGGACTCGAGTCTACCTTAGTATCACAGGGCCATTCCGTCTTATGATAAAACATGGACTAAACGTAGTACTTGGTTTAAAATTGGGCCACTCAGAAAGATTCAAGTAGCCCAATACGCTCATTTTACCCCTTTGTGTGTGACTGTAAAGGCATTCCAGCATTTTATTTTACCCCTTATGGTTATTGAAATAATACTCGTTTTAAATTAACGCCCTAAAAGTGGCGGAGTTCTGGGTCGGTGACATTTAGTTTTGGTTGCCATTGACACGAAAGAAGAAGAAGATTATAATAATACTGTGCGAGCCAAATAAGAGTAGGACTGTCAAACGGCCATCTTGGTTCGCATTGACCTTCAATTTTAGGATATAGGGTGTGCTAAAAAAGGACGAAAATAATTTTTTTTTTATAAATCATCTCATGATCGTGGTATGATAAATTATGAGTTAAAGAACGTGAGACGGTGAGGCAAGAGAATCAACCACATTCGCGCTCGCTTAGTTTATTATGAATTGCTACAGCGTCAACTAACTAAAAATTAGGAATACAATAATAAATTCATTAAAAAAATCGTCAAATTGAAATAAACTTATATCTTCCTGTATTGACGTCATCTTCCATCTTCTCCATTTTGGCTTTCTGTTTTTACTTAGGTGATATAAACGCAAGACGTTATAATATTGGCAGGCACATAAAGTAGCGAACTCAGTCACGTCCATCTTGCATTAGACGTAGCGGGCAACTCAATAAATCGATAATGTAGATGGCTAGCACTTCCGCAGCCCCCACTCAACAAGACTTCGCCTCGCGACAGGACAGTCTGGTGGCGGCATATAAGCGAGAGTATAGCGAGTGTGTTTGTTTGGCTGTGTTCAGACGTCGGCTGCTGTTGACGATACGCCCCCTTCTGGAGGCGTACGGGGGCGCGGCGCGGAGTGTACGTGCAGCGGCGCACTCGCCCCTCGTGAGGGACACGCTCGACGCGCTCGCCGAGGAGTTCGCGCAGGGCCGGCTTCAGTACGGTCAGTATACATACTCTATATATACCTAGTCTAGCCATCAATAGGGAATATGCATATTTTTGGAAATTATTTTATATGATAATTTACATCGATATATAACTGTAAAAAGAACCCGGCACCGAAAAACTAAAGTTTTGTAACATTAATCTAAGTAATAGATTAAAATAAGTAATAACTACGTGCAATTTAAACACCGGAATTTTTGGCGCGCTCGTCGTGACGTCAAAGTACACGATATTTTAAATCAATATGGATTTTGAGTGATTGATTATTATTCAATTTCCCAAATCGATTAACAACTAATCGATTTTTTAAAGTATAATAAGAGTTTTTTAATAAATCATATAATTTACCAAATTGTTGAAATAAAAATAAAAGCTTAAAACATCATTTAAATTGTAATCAGTTGTTTATTTTGCAATATAATACATTGATGTTATTGCATCGATGTTAACTTTTCGTAACAACGACATCCCTATACGTGTACATTTTCGTCACATCCGCTCTGACAAATAGCATGGCGTTTAAATATTTTGAAGTTACCGCATTTATTTTGCACTTTTTAATAATTATTTTCAAGACGAAAACGAACTAATGTTGGAAAATATTTAGATAGACTTTATTCTAAAGCAATAACGATTGTAATAAAATATATTAAACACATTTAAAAAGAACATTAATTTGAATTTCGAACATTAACTTCTACGATAAATAATAGACTTCTGTCCCGCCATTATTGTATGTTTTTTGTTTAGAAATTATTTGTTTTGAAAATGGTGTGGGGCACTAAGGAGAGCTAAGGGTGGACACTTTGAATAACTAGTTTAGTACGTTAACATATATGTATATTTCACTCTACATAATTACATATAAAACTTTAAAATAAATTTTTTTTTAGTAATTATCGGATATTTTCTTTGTAACAGAACTTATGGCTAAACTAGGTATTTATCGACGTTACACTACGAGGGTCAAACTGAAAGTTCTTAGAAAATCAAAAACTGATTACATTAGCCAGTTATTAGTTTTATTATATCTTTTCAAAATATTGTCCATTCACGTCAATACACCGCTGCATGCGATGGAACCACTGGGAAAAGCACTTTGCCCACTCGTCCTTAGGGGTCTCTTCAATGGCATCGCGATACGCAGCCACCGCTTCTTCAGCATTCATAAACCGCTTTCCTTTAAGTTTTTCTTTAATTTTTGGAAATAAATAAAAATCACAAGGCGCGAGGTCGGGGCTATACGGCGGGTGACCCAGTAATTCAACGTTTGATGTCGCCAAATAGTCGATCGTTCGCTTGGCGGTGTGCGACGAGGCGTTGTCGTGGTGAAGGAGGATCCTACTGCGAGGTCGTTTCTCTCGAACTTTTTCCAAGACAAGTGGCAAACAATTGGTAGTGTACCATTCTGCAGAAACTGTTTTTTGATCCTCTAACACAATTGTTGCAAAATGACCTATCCTTCCAAAGAACGAGGCCACCATTTTTTTTCCCGCACTTCGATCTCTCTTCACTTTAGTTGGCAACTCCTCGAAAGGAAACACCCACTGAGCAGATTGTCTTTTGGTTTTAGGATCATAACAGTAAATCCAGCTTTCGTCACCTGTTAGTATGTCGAACACAGCATTTGAGTCACCTCCGTTAAATCTTTCAATCATTTTACGACACCAATCCACACGATGGAGTTTTTGAGCCTCAGTCAAATTATGAGGTATCCACCGGGCGCAAAGCTTCCTGACCGCTAAATGTTCGTGGAGGATTTTGTGCACTTGACTCATACCGATGCCTAAGCTTGTCCGAATCTGTTGATAGGTCACTCTTTTGTCAGTCTCTATCATACGCCGCACAACACAGATGTTATCTTCAGTCGTCGCCGTAGAAGGCCGTCCCTCACGTAAATCATCAGTGAGATTAGTGCGACCACGTTTAAACTCATTAAACCAGTTGTAAACAGTCGCACGAGATGGGGCTTCATCGTGAAAGGCCAATCGTAGTCTATCATAACTTTCTTGTTGACTTAAATGACATCGAAAGTCATAAAAAATCATTGCACGAAAATTTTCTCGTGTTAAATTCATGATGACGTGACACAGACAATTTTCAATTTGCCGCCAAATCGTAAAACAAATGACAAATGAATGAAATATATACTCAGTAATATTGGCAAAGAGTTATATTTTCAAATTTTAGAATTATTTTTTTATTATATTGTTTATAAGTGGCCAGTTCTAAGAACTTTCAGTTTGACCCTCGTATCCACGATTGTTCTTCGGTACAGTAAAACAATGATTCGTATAAACGTCCGTGGTAATTAAATAATGTGTTCCTAATGTCCGTTTTCACTAAAGTTAGGAGTCGCCCAAATCTGTCGACTTAATATATAGGAATCGCCTAAGGTAAAAACGCATTTCACCATTGACTAGGAACCACCTAACGAAATTTAACGATGTCTAGTCTAATTTATATTGAGTGATGGTAATGAAGTGAATGTATTGAGTGATAATTTATATTTGATACTTAATGATGGACTGATGTTTTAATTAAAAAACATATTCTTTTTCCAGGTGAAGCGGTTTCGACAGACGCAATAAGGAATTGTCACCGATTGCTACGTCAATGGGGCGTAATAGAAATGTACGACGAAGACAACAGACGGCGAGTACGTCTCTGTCCACCTTACGACAACGAGAAATCGCTGCAAGAGATCACATCCAACATACACAAGTTCAACATGAAGACTGATCTGCTGGATTTCAAGTGAAACAAGTGATTGTGATATTATCGAAACAGTGTTTTAACTGTGTCGTGATATTAGTGGAAACGTTAAACCAGTGATACTTAGACTGTGACCTATATTGTGACTAAAGTGGACACTTTATAAGTGAAGCTGTCTTAAAAGTCTAATATTAGAGCTATTACTCACTAGCAACTTTGTGTTTGGTTGATATATTAGTTTAAAGTAACGAAAATCTTAGGCTGCGGTGCGTAGCAGCTCGACTGCATTAATATACATTCACTGCATAAGTGTCAAATCCTATCTCCGTTGCGTAACAAATTATCAAAAACGTGTTTCTTTGGAGTCATATTCGCATTTCGAAAAAAGACGGGATCCCGTTTTTGGAGTAAGAGAACAGACCTTATGGTATCATGTTAATTGATTAGCGTCGCAATGAGCATATGTGTTTAATTTAGATCTTCTTTTTGTGCCGTTTTGTGTTTATGCCGTGAAAAATTATACAAATATTCTCTTGAATCCTAAAACATCATCACCCGACCGCAAAAAAGGATATTTAAAAAAAAACAGCTGGCAGTAATGGAGTTAAAACTGTGAAAAGTCACCTCTAATCCGCCGCGAGCTTGTCAAAACGGAAGTTGTAATTAAATTAGCGGACGGAAAACGGCCAGTATAATAATATGTTGTTCAGAACCCTCTTTTTAATTTAAAAAGTTTATTAGACCTTGCCCCTTTTGCAGAGCTATAGAAATGCTAGAAGTGACTAACTTTCATCATTTAATACGGTTACATCATCAGCATATTAAAATCTGTGTCTTGATAGTGGAGCACTACCAAGTACAGGCTTTCCCTATTAATGAAACTATATCGATTATATAGTACTGTATCAATAAGTGGGAATTAGCGTCTGCAGATGCAGCTGAACGTACGAGTATCTTCCGAAGTCTGCATAAGACACTAATTTCTCAAAAAATACCAAGTTTTAGTTTTTAAAGTTTTGTTTCCGTTAAAGTATAATATAAATTGGAAAGATTTGCAAGTTTCGGTTCGCCTTTCTTGTTAAATTATTGAAATGCTATTTTTATAGGAAAAACAATGTGAGATGCATGAGTCTTAATTTGGTATCATAAAGTTTATGCAGTGAATGGGTATTACAGTAAAGGAGTTGTATTAGAGCATGTTAAGTGTGCTGATGCAAAATTATAAACATATCTCTTGAAAAGAGACATACCGCATTTGTTTCTCTAGTTGTTAGGTATATTACCTGATAATTCAATTAACGACAACACTATTTGATTCATGGAAATCTAATTTCCGAGATAAGTGATCAAATTGTGATTTAGATTGAAGCAATTTGTGTGATCATTAGTTATCTTCGTATAGTACAATTTGTTATACGTTATATTCATTTCAGACGGATGTTTGAAATCTGTTCTTATTCTGTGTGAATAAGGTTTCTTTTATTACCTAATTGCTGACCATGTCTTGGTAGGTTATAATTTATTTTTAAGCCTTCTATTTAATGAAGCGAAGTAAACGTTTTTTTTTTACGTTTGTAATTATTTTCTGTGTTAATGAAGGGACATTAATTATTTTCTCTGCAAAAGTTTGCATCATAAGTAAAGTCCCTTATGATAAAGTGCATTATGTGAGCAACTTAATATTTATCATCATCAGTTGTTTATCTTTATTGTGATTATTATATGATCTGTAGGTATTCATAGTCAGTCAACACGATCGATTTGTAAGTTAAAGGTTGAACAAACATATAGTTTATTTTTATAATATTTATTTTATATATTTAAATGTCTGGAACGTTAAAGTTACGGCGCGTTTTGATTACCCGAATGTATTAAATATGCCGTAACTTAGAATTTGCGCGTATATATTGCGAAGTGAATCTCTGGTTCGTGTGTTGGTCGTTTAATAATTAGATTTCAACTTTATATTTCTTAATTAAGAAATATAATAATTGCTTATAAGATATGTGAAAACGCGTAGACCGTATGCATTTCCGTTGTCAAGACGCGCTTAATGTAAGACGAAACTTAACAGAAGTATAAATTAACAAACAAAAACAACAGCCTAAGTGAAATATTATGAAAGCTGTATTTATCAAGCGTAAGAGAGGAAATATTGTTTTAAAAGTATAATATAATAAATATATACAGTTAATAAAGAACACGCCAGAATTTACTAAATGTTCCAGTGTTATTGAATGTAATTTCAAACCTTAAAACATTGAAAGTAGAATTCAAAATAGATTATAAAACACTGACATTACTAACCGTTTGCTTCGAGTTACCCGCCCATGACCACTAAATGACGTAACTTGTACAGTCGACAAATAAATCATTATTGTAGTTTTACTTGGCTCAGCATTCCATCAATTTAAATGGTGAGTTGAGACTTAATAAATAAAATAAATAATAAATAAATAAATATTTAACAACATCACATACATTGCTCAGATTCCAAGATGAGTAGCTAAAGCCCCCGTATTATGGAGTATCTGAGACAACGAAGGTACCACAACACCCAGACCCAAGTCAATATAGAAAAGTTCATTTTCTACATTGACCCGACCGGGAATCGAACCCGGGACCTCAGAGATGGCGACACCTTGAAACCGGCGTGCGACCCACTCGGCTACGGAGGTCCTTTTAAAGATTATATCAAACATACAAAAAAATATATAAAAAACAAACGATCATAGCAACAGAAATAGACAGACGTGCGCGATGTCGTTGCTAGCGTTACTCGGTGGGTCAATTTGGACGCGAGGAGAAAGCGAGAAGTGTGAAAGTGATCAACTCGAAGTGAACTGATAGTACGTGATGTACTGTGTGCATATACATATATTAATTAAGGTCTATTTTTGAACGTTCGTTTGGTTCGCATTTGGAAAGTCATCTTCAATAATTGTGGATAAGGCGAGATTTTTTTTGTTATGTGTACATTGACAAGCCAAGGGGTATACTGTAAGTAATCTCGCAGGATAGGACAAAGCCGATGCATAGAACTACTGCGCTATTGACTGTTGACATTTAATAGTCGATATCCAGACCGAAAAAAAATAGAAATGTATTTGTTCCAACAAATACATTTTTTTTATTTATTTACCTTGAAGAGTCCTCGCAACGTGTCGACTAATGAGTGATAGTGGATCTTGGGATTAGGGGCTGATTGTTTAATTTTAAAATTTATTGCAATGCCTTTCAAATCTATAGCGATTTATAATGTTATATATCTTTTTAAGTCCCATTCGCTTTTATTACGATTTGAATGATCACGACACATGATAAAAACTTAGCAAAACCGGTCGAAAGCTTGTAAATATCTCTCAATGATATTTGCGTCTTAAGCTTGTCTTAGACAATTCCAAATAACGTTAAATTAACGATCTATTTTATTCCAATATCTTGCAAAAATCATCGCGATTGCAATAGCTACCATGTGTCAAATAGTTATAGCGTGAAGTTGAAAAAGATTGCGTTAGATTTTAAAACTAGATGATAAGCTCCCTCCTTATACAAAGAAAAGGGTTTTAGCTAGTCGCTTTTATACTCTTAAAATAATGGTGTGATTTTTTTATGTTAGGCATTCTCTTAGATATTTGGTATATGGTATTTAAGTAAGGATGGGAGAAGTAGATCTCTTCCGGCTATATATATGATTTCTTTATAAATCTAAATGCTAATTTCTTGTAAGTTCAGGGTGCGGGCAGTTTTTTTTTTATAAAAGATCTTTTCCGTGAGATATGTTAATATAATTTCCATTTCTTTCTTAAAAACATGTAGGACATGGTCAAATAAGTATTTAGCAATACTTCTTCACTGGCATATAATCTGTAAAATGAGTAATATAATAGATATTGGTACATTATAAGTTAGTAATTATTTTATAGTTAAGAAGTCCAAATTATTTGCTCAAAGATTGGAGCCAAATATATATATATCCTTGTAACGAGTAATTAATATTTAATCGATGATCTGTGATCGTATGGTGTTATAGTGGCACCGTAGAATGCTGGCATATTATCTGTGTTCTTGTAATGCCTTAGTGATCTCAATTACAGTAAATGTATATTGATTGACGTACGTAGCATTTCATAAATAAATATTGGGTTTCTTTGAATAATCATAGGATGAATTGCTGTATCATTCGTTTTATATCTACTCTGTATTTTGCGTAAATACTGAGTGGTAAGTGTAAGTTTTACGCTGACGTGTTCACTAGTGAGCGCGTCAAGAATTTGTATGGAGATTTGTAGTTTTTGGTAGTCACCGCTAGGGGCGCTGTTCCAGATTCCATACTAAAATCTTGACGTGCTCACGACAGTGAACGTAAACGTCCAGAAAACTTACACAAAGCAATTGTTTCACACAGTAATACGAAATTGTGTTTTACAATATGATGCGAAAGAATTTTTTGAGTGAAAATAAAAAGGTTACCTATATTAAAAAAGTATTTAAACCCAAATGCTAAATAAATTTGAAACAATGCATTTACTAATATCTAAACATGTTAAGGCATGATTCAGCAATTCATTATTTGATGATAAAAGTACCTGTCTCAACTACCTAATTTGAAACCTAATCTTGATTTTCGAACAATAAATACTTTGAGAGACTATTTTGCTTCAAAAGCTTAAGTTGTTTTCTTTTTCCTATATGATCCTGTCATTAAAGGCGTACCCCAAAGCTTTTCTTTATTTGCGGCGCTATTCTTACCTCGCTTTATTACAACTATTTTATAGATCATTTAATTAATAAAAAAGTTAAAAAGAAAACTATCACATTTAAGTTGTCCTTACAAGTTGACGACGAATAATCTTCCAAATCTATTTAACTAGAAAATTTCGAACAACTCCTTTTTACTACAACAGTTTTTTTGCCTTTTTCGTGGATAATGGTACAGAACGGTTCGTGCGCGAGTCGACTTGCGCTTGCCCGGGATTTTAATTAACATATTATAATGGAGAATTATTTCTTGGACGAAAAAATAATATATGGGTCACTATTAACAAGATACTTTAATACTTAAATGAGGGGAGATAAATAAGTGTGCGAAAAATTTAATAAACTTCTGATGATTATGAATGACTAAAAATATTAAAAAAAAAAAACTATAATATGAACTGTTAATATGGTAGGAAACAGTTTTGTCTAATAAATATTTTTCAAAAGATGGAACCGACTTTAAAAAAGTGAAAAAAATATCTTGTAAGTGTTAATTTTTTTAATAAAAACCTACAGAAAACCATATCCCGACTTTGATGTTTCTTGAACAGCTGTAATGCATTTGATTGTGAGAATAAAAATGGCAGAATACTGCCGATTTTCACATTTTTTTGAAAATTGTTCCCCATAACATTTTGCTAAATAAAACAGGAAATTTGTACTTATTATTAGATATTTTAAATTTTAATGACATTGCCGTAACAAATTATTACTTAAAACTAAAATCTGACATGAGGGTTATAAATGCACATAGGTATATACTTAACTATAACATGATTTTTACTTCGAATCAGCAAAAAGGCACTCGCAACTAAACTATCACATAAATTAACTAATTGATTGTAGAATAATATCGCATTAATATTCTTCTAACGATTTTAAATTTAACAATTATCAAACCAAAATAATAAAATACCGTTTCAGAACAAAAAAAGAGAAAATCTGTATGTGATACACAATAATATTATAATTTAATTAAAATAACCATCGCATTCAGATAAAAATGAGTTTGTGTAATTTTAGATAAAAATTAACTTTATAATTAAAAACAAAATGGGAAATGCCTAGTAAAGAATTGACGTAGTCGGAACTCTTTAATGGTGGGTATGTGAATATCCATCCTATTCTCCCAATATCGTTTCAGACTCTTGTGTTCGCTGCTTTTCAAATGATTCTGGAGATCTTCCCAGGGCGTAGCGATTAAGTTGCAGTACCCGCAATGGAAAATTCCAGGTCGCACCTTAAAATAAGAATTTTATTTAAACCACAAAGTGATACCTCGACTTTGTACATAAAACTGAGACGTGCGGCATAGAATCGTGAAAATCTTTATCACGAAATTTTGTAAATTGATTCGTATTCGCGCATTCATGCAATGTTTCGCCACATCACTCTGGTCACACGATCTGTGTTATCTCTGTGTCGTTGTCACGTCGATTCGCAATTATATATATAAGCCCTTCGGAGCGGCCACAATGTACGGACAGCAAACTATCAAATTTATTTTGTAAATTACAAACAAAACCACTAGTTTTGGTTTCCGTTCCTAACCTTTTTACACTTGTTGCCCTGATGACCTGTGAGGAAAACAGATTTTGCCTTCCTTCCAACACAATAACCGCGGGACGTCTGTCTAACTGGAGGTCCGGCCCTCTTAATAGATATATTTATAATAACATCGTTTTCCAAATCATGTTCCACACTGTGACAGTTTTATTACTCTTTTATTGAATTTGGTCTTAATTATTAGGGTCTTTATTTATTCCCGATAATAGCTGATTTATCCCGCAGGGGTTATTAATTAGCCCTAAGTTAGAAGCGCTGGTGTACCCGCTGATATTCTTTCCTTTAAATAGAAAAGTAAACATTCTCACCTCTCTGACAAACTCCGTGTCATCCAATGATGTTAAGAATAATGTATCACCCATGGCACGAACGTGACTTGAAGTTTCTCCATGTAAATTCACTTGGTCTAAAGTCAAATTTACTTCGCAAACCTGACACCTTAGCGATCGGCCAGTTTCAGTGATCACGAGAAAACTTAAATGGTCAATACAATATTTGTCATTAATAATTCTCTCCTTCCCAGTAAAATTTCTAATAGTAAATAATTCCTCTATAAAGTCTTTCATTGGTAATTTACTGTAGACAGTTTTCTTGGCGGTAGTTTTCTTGACGGTAGTTTTCTTGACCGTAGATTTCTTGGATACTTTTTTCGATGATAATATTTTATGTACACTGCCTGCCACGTGCTCTTTCATGGATCTAAGTGAACTAGAGATATTAGCCTCGCAAATTTGGCAGTGTGCAGTGCTATTATTTTTATTGTAAGTTATGCGGTTTTCCTTGGCGAATACGACAGGATCATCGGCAGCCATATCCTTAGTAACATTTTTCTTAGAACATGTAACGTTTTTGCCTTTACTGTCTATTACGTTAGGTTTTGTATCATCAAGCTCGGTAGATGAAGAATTGATTGCAAGTAATCTAACACTATTTTGTTTTCTCACTTCACAATGGTAAGGAACATAGCTAACGTTTCTGCTTTTTGGCATTCTGTCATGTTCTTTAATATGATTGACTATAGAATCATAATCAAAATTTACGTTTTCGAAACATTTCTTACAAAATGCAGTTTCATACTCAAAGTTAACGTTAACTTCATTTTTTGCAAATATATGTGTTGAATTTAATAATGTCGATCCTTTATCGTCGTTATTAAAATGTTTTAGATCGGACGCCTCGTCAATAACAGAATCTGAGGCAAAACCATTGTTGTTTCTAATATTTTTCTTTTCTTTTCTTTTTACTGGCAATCCGGACTTTAATTTTATAGGAATAGGGATCTCTTTTTTTACATCTGCTTTGTGTGCTAAGTAAGCCTTTTTACATTTTTTCAACCTGCTATTATGCTCAGTTTCGTTGAAATGAACATCGAAAGCGTTTGTGGCAAATATGGCGTTACAAGTTATGCAATAAAATGTGCTGTCGTCCACCTGAAACGAGTCAGTTTTAAATATATGATCATTGTTGTCATCCCTACCTGTGTCCCTCCGTCTCTACTATATTATCTATAATAAGACAAAAAATATATAGCTATCGTAGCTCTGATTAAAAATTAATTAGATGGATATATAATTAGCAGTTTTTACAATTTTGTCTATGCTTGCTACTAGCGTTCATGGGCGAGTTACGAGAATGAAATTTAAGTCCAACGAATTGTATGAAATTCAATAGGGAATACGACTAATTTTTGTTTATTCATCCGTCAGGTAGATTATTGAAGAATATTAAATACTTTATTTTTGCATAATCAATAAATTACGGCGATAGATTGATTTGAAATGTCGCATGACGTTATACTTTTGTATATTTTCTACAAAACTGTGACGTAGCGAGGCTCCACTCCTCAACTTTGCATGCATATACATATAAGTCACAAAAAAAACCGTATCTAATATTTTTCTATTATCTGACTGATGAACTACATCGAAGTACTTTTTTATTACTCAATCATCATCCCGGCACGTCAGCCTTAATAGGGATGATGACTGGGTAAAAAAATGCAATTCTATTTAGTCCGTCAGTCAGATAATAGAAAAATATTAGATACGTATATTTTTTAACTTCAATTTAACAAGAAATAGCTTAGATAACAGGCATTAAAGTTGAGGAGTGGGGGCTTGCTACGTCACAGTTGAGTAGAAAACGTACCCTAACGTGACGTCATGCGGAATTTCAACTCCATGTAACGCCGTAATTTAATGATTACGAAAAAAATAAAAAAATGCGTGTTTAATATTTTTTAACACTCTACCTGACGCACAAACAAACAAAAATTAGTCATCATTCCTATTCCTGTATTCGTAACGTAATAGGCGGAGTAGTAATCGCACTTTTCCAATGTCAATGATAACTACTATTTTGTTACAAAGAGAATACGTGAAAAATAGAAGTAAAATAGCCCAGAGTATTAGTTAGTCTTTATAGAGGGCAATCCTAATTCGAAGATGAAATATATCATTAGATTGTTACCTCACGGTAGATTTCTTCAGAGGGACCAAACTCGACGGTGTTATGTATCAATTTTAAAATATGTGAAGTAGACGATTTGTGAAGGTTCTTATCCGCTGCCTCCACGTTACATACGGCACAAGAATCTCTCATCATGCCACTCCATGCGTCGTGATCAATAAGGATACTGTCATAGACCACCACGTAACGTCCGAATCGCTTTGTCTGTTCGATGGCTTTATTACGGATGTGCTGTTTCTCTTTTACATGCATACTAATTCTAAGTTTAGTAGACAGAAGTGTCCCGCAAAAAATGCAGAAATATCCCGTGTTTACCTGGAATTTGTTAAATCAACTTTGAAATCCATCAAATGTTTCAAATATTCAATTAACAAAACACAATTACAAATGTTCATAATATAATTTATGAATACTTGTATAATTCAATATCAGTTCATTGGCATTTAAATTAAAGACTATTATTAAATTTCTAGACTGGTTATAAGTATTTAGTGCCTACGTCACAGTACAGCGAAATAATTTATCTAGTTTAGATGTAATATGGAAAAATTACACCTAAACTAGATATATATAAAATATTAAACATAAAATGGGGAATTATAAAACGATCGACTAAAAAAGAATTTAGCGACTGATGATAGCATACTGTTTTAATAATTTGAGTGTTATGAATTTGAGTAAGCGGAAAATTAACTTAACTAACGACGAATATTGATTAATGATCAAATCCAGAACAAGCTTACAAAAAGTGGGTTATGTTTAATCCGTTTTAGATATTACAATTCTGTCCGTGAGACTACATTACTAAGTGAGCGACAAGATACACAAAGAGAGCAACTTTAATATTAAGATAGATGAGACTTTCCAATAAAAGTTTTTCCAACGAACTACTAAAAAGTTCACTTTAAGCAAAGTTTTGTAAGCTGAATTATTAGTGATTATTGGTTACTGATATTCTATATGAAGTCTTATGTTTTTTTTATTTTGATATGATTTCTTAATGAAAAAAGGAAAACGAGGCCGACCTGCTAATTCGAAGCCAGCACTTATTTACCAGTGACGATGAGTATAATAGTAGGGCTCCTCATAGCTATCTATCAATATTTGTTACAATTAATAAGATTACTTTTTAAGTTGGCTGAAGCGTCTTTTTGTTTTGTTAATTTGATTTAAGTCCCTTAATGCATATTACTTTCTTTTTCAGAATACATTGTTGCATTTTATTTACCTACCCTTAAATTTTTATAATTTTTTTGGCTTATAGAATAGTGTTTCTTAATTTTTTTTTAATATGATGTGGTTTTTGTATTTGAAACACTTCATATAAGATAAAATGCCGCGCAGTATAAAAAAACATTTGCCAAATATTGAAAACAATGCAGGACGTAACGTTGGCGCTCAAACAAATATTAGGTCGCTCATATATTAAGAAGCATCTCATTGTGTATTATAAGTAACTCAAATTAATGTTTGTAAGTTGCTGTTCTGTTGATTTCTCATCTTCCGCAGTCTTAGTAGTACTATGACGTAAACACTTTAATTTACAGTCAATCGTTTTAATATTACCTACATAAAATTACTTATTTGAGCTTACTTTTATCACAACAGGTATAGTTTTAAGTAATGAACATCATATTAACTTATTTCGTAAACGTAACTTAAAAGAAACAAACGCTAAACTACTAAATTATATTACTCATATATACACTATATTACTCAAGCTTCTTGTATTATACATAAAAACATTCCTTTTGAATTACCCTATCTATGAAAAAAAAAATCCGTTGCGTAGTTTTAAAGATTTAAGCATACATAGGGATATAGGGTCAGAGAATACGACTTTGTTTTATACTATGTAGTGATAAGGCTATAAAAGGCAACAATTATATTCTAATAATAACAAGTAATATTCATTATTACTTGTTATATACACCGGTGGTACTCATGATTCAACAATCTTAAATTATAGGTAAGAAATGTTCATATAGCATTATCGAGAAAATTAACAAAAAATAAACAAATTGAAGACACTAAACACTAAATAAATAAATAATCGTTGCGTTCATTTGTTGAATGAAAAAAGTATTCACTAGCGCCAACAGATGGTGTTAGTGCATATACTCCTGCTGACAGAATGCCCCTCTCCCTGCAGAGCAAGCATAGTTCACTTATTCGCCAATAGATGGCGTTAGTGCATAAGCTCCTGCTCACAGAATGACCCCCCTGTAGAACGAAAACATAGACGTATCCACGTCAAAAATATTCAATTAAATGAAATGTTGATTATACTATAATCTATGAAATTATTTGTTTCTTATATCCAATAATTGTTTGATGTTTACTACCTACTCTTTGCTACATCACGTGAACGTCAAGATAGCAGGCACACTAACGAGTACGTCAATAAACAGTAAAAGTAGTTACAAATAGTGATCCATGGCATATAATTAGTGAAACTGTAAATTAAAATATATTGGAAGAATTATGCCTGATAACTAGACATCTAAATAGCAGGCACACTAGAAATACAGTTCGTATTAGTTTAAATTATATACTATTTATTACTCACAAGTTATTGACATAACCTCCGTAGCGGAGTGGCTCGCAGGCCGGTTTCTAGGTGTCGCCATCTCTGAGGCCCCAGGTTCAATTCCGGGCGGGTCAATGTAGGAAATGATTTTTCCTATATTATCTCGGGTCTGGGTGTTGTAGTACTTTCGTTGTCTCAGATACTCCATAATACGGGGACTTTAGCTACTCATCTTGGTATTTAATATTTATATATTTCATATATACCAACATAAGACCCTCAGAGTCGTTGGTATGCCTGCTACATTGACGTTCACAACCTCACAACAATCAAAACACAAGCCAACAAAGGATGGAATTAAATGCGCCGAAAAAAAACAACTAATCAGAGCGCGAGAACGCCCGAATGCAGTTTCAATCGTAGTTTCGGCAGGTTTGCCACCGAAACCAAAACTATAGCGGAATTAGTTATTTTTTTGGACACTAGAAACAGTTTGTAATTATTCATAATTCCCGGGCATTATGAATAATTCCATACCACCAACCGACCCATACTTCTTTAGATTAAGACATGAAAAAAATGCAATTGTTCTCTTAATCGAGAGAGTGTACCTACCTTCAGTATTTGCTCATCTTTATATTTTTCCACGTACTGAGCGGCGTCAAGGTTTTTCCTGTGTATAGGTTTTGCGATGTGTGATGTCACTTCATCCTCACCCCTCAGATGATATTCACACACCAGACAAAACGAATCCACATGACCATATAGAATAACCTGCTTCTGGATCTTCGACAGCATATTGAGACCTTATAAAAAATATTTATACATAAATATTTCTATGAAAACTATAACAAGTTGCCATCAAGTATTCAAGTATGGATGATTATTTTTTTTAATAGGTACGTATCGTGCTAGAGAACTTTGACGGAAGACTTCAGATCTGCCCCGTGCTCCGGCAGAGTGTGAGATTGGACTTCGAATGTATATTGTTTTGTATACAACTGGTTTCCGTCTTAAATGCATTTGTTAAGTAAATTAATACACTGATAAAGTAAATTTATTTGTAGTCACTAACTACAATGTTAATAGTCAAAGTAATTAGTGCAAATTTGTACAAAGTAATTGAAATGAGAAAAAGATAACTTTCTTTATTTAGATATTTAAAATATTAACGAAATATATCGACATCGCAACAAGTAAGATTCTGATGAGAATTAAACTGACGTAATCAACCTATATGAAGGCAAAAGTGTAGAAAAGACATTAGTATCTAATCTTTCTAGAAGTACACAAACTTACACTAATCATTTACAAATAATACATCTATTATTTGGAAAGTTAATAGCTATATTATTAATATAATATATTTTTTTGCGCGTGGTCATTAAAATTATTATCAACTGCCAGTGCTTCTAGATTCACTGTAATTATAGGAGATTAAGTGTATATTAGACTGTTCTACTGTAATGATTAAATACGGTTTATGAATGATTATGCTGTATTTTATTTTGGAAAACTTAAAATTATCAATATTGCGAACGAGACTGCACGAGATTCCCTGATGGATGAGCGCATTTTCTGGGGTTTGGTTTTGCTGTGAACGCACCGTAGACTACAACTAGCGGTGATTCTCGGAAACTTGTACTTCCGGTTAGATAGATCCGTCATTATTGTTTTTCAAAATAATAAATATTTATTGATATTTTTTTATTTCAAAATCTTCGATGGCAATATAGTTTTTTTAATGTATATTCACCTATTTTTCCGCGAATTGTTGACCTGTTCTAAAAATTTTTTTTTATTAGACAGCTTGAGATGGTCCCATATAAATGTTATAGAAATACAATTATTATAATTTTGTACGATATTTATAACAAAATAAAATATGCTTTTCACCAATGTTCTTATCAGCGAAAAAATTAAAGACCGGATTTTTAGTGATCATTCAAAATCGGAAAGGCGGATTTTCTATGTTCAAGGTAGGTATATAATTTTTTATATAAGTAATACCTACTCATATAAAAAATCACCGTTTCCTCGTAAATTGTGAACCAATTTTTATCAAACTAGCTGTTTTTCCGCAACTTCGCTCTCGTTAATTATAGGCTATGTCCCCCGCGTATGATGTGATGTAGCTTCTCGTACGAAGATGAAAGAATTTGTAAAATGCGTCAAGTAGTTTCGGAGCCTATTCAATGCAAACAAACAGACAAGCGAATCTTCCCTCTTTATAACACAAAATCACCTCTTCTAAGACTTTCACTATGTTAACATAGTTTTATATAAAATTTTCATTTTTTAAGTTACTGTATATTTAAGGTTAAAATCATTAGAGCAAACATAATCAGTTTGCCATACAATACCGCCCCCAAATACAAGTGCCCTAGGCAGTTGCCTAGTTTCCCTATGCGTACGGGCCGAATATATTAGCCCGAATAAAAGATTGTCACTGTGAATAACTATTATTCTATATATATCTAATTTAGAATTTTAGATACAAGTCGCGTAATTACATTGTCTTTATAACATAGTGAAACAACACGTATATATTTGTCCAAACCAGGATAGGAAGCTTTTCGTCTATAACTCCAGAAGTAGAGAGTGTAGACGGCTTCGAGGAAGGAAGGCCGTCTACACTCTCTACTTCTGGATCTATTACTAGATCGGACCATTTGTATGCTGTAGTTACATCAGACATTCATGAGACCATCTAAGACAGATGTTTTCTCAGAATCAAGTTATATGTGCCCAGAATCATATGCTGTGTCAAAAAGCACCTTTTCAATGGTGTTTTCATAGTAATTGTATTCGGGGACAAAAACTCGCTTACCAAAAAATGGCTAGGTATCAAAGGAATTGGGTCCTCTGGGTGGGCTGACATTTGACACATGAGTCTTGAGTTTAGACACGCTACAATTTGCGAGAAGACTGTTGTCTGTTCAATCTATCCCGTACTAAACAGTTCTCTTACAATCCCCCC